CGGCCTCCATCGAACAGAACGCAGAGAAATTCTGTACTACACTGAAAGAAACCACAGACAATTGGCCAATATAAAGGGCGTGGGAATCAATAAAGAATTGTTAGAACTAACAACTCCGATTTGCAATATATTGATTATGGGTCGTATTCGAATGGATATTTGTGGGAAGAGAACCCCTTTGGGGATTGAACAGTTTGAAATTTGTCGAGAAGTTTTTGGAGGGTAGAGAGAGATGGAATCCTGCTATGTTCTGTTTGTCTTTTGGGTAAAAACTGCAGAACAATGAAGAAGATGAGGCCCATCAGAAGGCGCATCAGATGCAGCAGAGACTGAACTTTGATACATGCTTCTTTCAGATGAGCCAAGGAAGCCGGCAGTAGAAGCCGGCAGCTGTATATTATTATAATCATCTTTTCGTATTGAAATTTGTATGATTATACATAACTTATGCAGAAAAGCCACATGAATTATCCATCAAGCTTAGAGGTTGGAATCTCACCGCCGCATGTTGTTATTATTGTTATTATCTTGATAATGGAGAGTCTGAGAGTCTGAGAGTCTGACGTAAGACTCGGACGGAAAGACAATAAAAAAAATTTTATATTAAGTTCACCGAAAGATTCAAACGTGAGACTTGTAAAAATCAAGAAACTCCAAGTCCTTACCAATCAATCGAGAGACTCCAAGTTCTTACCAATCGAAATGTCTCTTAAACGCTTCTCACTACCACATATTATTGAACTAAAAGAAATTTATTATTATTTTGTAATCCGTTGGGGTGCAAGAAAAATTGGAATGATTTAGTTTTCAATTTCGACCTGATCTATCCATCTAGGTATGATAAGTCGATTTAAGTCGATGCGGTGCATGCATCTCCATACTTTTTCTATTCTCCCAAGTCTTGGTATCCACAAAAGTCACCAATCGTTTATCGACTTGATGCGGTTCATTACACTCCTCGATGGTGTATTGTGTTGCCAATAACCTATCTAGTTAATGACTTAATAATTTGATAACCTTTTCCAAAGTCCTACATTCAACTTTACTCTAAAAAAGATAGCATATTTTAAGCATAAGCACTTCTATCTCAATTTCGACACAAGAATAGAATATTTAAGGTAACTAGCAAGCACCCATCTTTCTTTTGTTAAGTACAACATGCAAAGTGTTGATTCAAACTTACGACGTTTTGATCGAAAATAGGTGCCGCAAATACCAATCTTATGACTGCTAGGTTCATGGACTGACCAAGAGCTGAGTGTGTCCCCTTTTTTTATTAAATTTTGTGAATTTGGCTGATATGATTAACAGAAAGCAAGGAAGAGAGCAGTTTTGAATCTGAATAAGTGCCTTGTATATTTATATATGGTACATCAGTACATGGAATGAGTTTTTCCATTTATACGTTATTCTTGGAACAAGAATTCCTTTTCACTAACTTATGGAACTCAACCTGTTTGTTTCGTTTGCATCAGTATCATCCCAACTTCTTCACAGCTCAACTGTATGCCTTTGACAGAAACATTTAAGCCTCTCTAAACCTTCTTCAAGAAACGATGGGTCGACCGCAAAAGTAATTCGGAGCCAGTTCTTCAGCCCTACCGCCGTTCCTGACATTGGAGCACGATTTGTTGAACATTAATTTCAGTTGAGAAGAGAAACTCACTATCAAAAGCATCTCTATGTTTATGTTTTCACGTTACTGACCTGGAAGAATGATGAGAGATTCCTCTTTGGCAAGCTTGAAGCAAAAATCAATATCATCACTGACGTCTTCGAGAAGATCCATGTTCAGTCTCACCTATACAATATCGTGCCGTAAGCAGATAAGCGACATGGCATTTTTTAAAATTTGTTAACTTAATTTAGAGATTTCATCTGTTACCATCACGGCCATTGACCCCTCTGGCTTGTGCGTGCATGTAATACAGGGGATTTCCTGGATCTTTCTGCAACATATTTCAGAGGTTTGCTTCAGAAGATTAATCGTTTTCTTGAAGAAAACCTCATCAGTCGACTCGAGGATCTGGGGTACTGCAGCCTGATACATCAAACCACCATGGGAGAAGTTGAATGAGAAGAAGCTTGCAGCTCGAAACATTGCTAACAGTAATATATAGGAAGCTAGATTTGAGTTTCGGATGTGTCTTGTGAGTTAATATGTCGATACTATAGCCAGAATCTTGGCATCATCAGCATCTACCAGAATCTAGTGTTTGTATTTATATCAGTTTGATATGAGTAACATCTATAAATGAACTAGCTAGTATGAAGGGAGAAAGTTGTTTCATCTGAATAGTGAATACGACTTGAGATCTCAAATGACACAAAAACTTAAGATCTGAACCTGGATGAATGTTGCGGGGCCTCCTAATATATCGAAATACTTCTTGATTCGCTCGAGAACCTGTATGGAAAGAAGGAAGAATTCAATAGGCATTAGCTGAGGCAAACAGGCTTATAACTCATTGTTTTCATTTATAAAACATAAGATATGAAGACCAATGGCTAATGTAATAAAATTTCCAATTGTTCAATCAAGTAGTATGTGAGGGGGGTGGGGGAACCTTGGGCTTTCTGAATGTGCCAGAAGGATCACTAGTCACGAACCACCCGAGTCGCCATCCCGGTACTATCCATCTCTTTGATAGAGATCCAAGGGTGAGAACAGGAACAGTTGACCCAAAAACTCCCATCGGCACGAAAGGTTTACTTCCAAAAGCAAGATGCCCATAAACTTCATCAGCAATTACCAGAATTCCAAGCTTTTCTGCAGTTTCTGCAATCTGAAGGACAGTCAACCGAAAACATTATACTATTTGTATTTCGGTGCTTGAGGTTATATAATCTAGATCACCAACCTTCTTCAGATGCTGATAACTGTATACATTTCCACATGGATTCCCAGGGTTGATAATAACCAATGCAACAGTGTTTTGATCTGCAAGGGTTTCAACAGCATCAAGATCAACCTCCCAGGCTCTCTGAGGGAGCAGATCAAAGTGCCGGACTTCAAGATTACGAAATGCAGAACAAAGTTCATAGATAGGGAAACCAGGCCTTGGAAGCAGTATATTTGCACCAGGGCGAGCAAGCATCGCCAAAGCAACATCAATTGCTTGTGTGCATCCAGACGTAATGAAAACGTCATCAGATGTCAACTTATACGGAAGATCGCGAGATAAATATTCAGCAATTGATCTGTTCGAGGTAAATTTAAACAAATAAAATTACGAAACCTGCAAATTCAAATTTGATAGTACATGTCTGTAAACACAGTTAAGTAAAAGTAATGCTTTAAAGTTATATAGACAAAAGAAACTGAATTCAAAAGTAGCTTCATATATTCATATTAGCCAAGAAAATTATGTGATATAGCGCATTCGGATCATTCTCTGGCTTTACATTGTTTCTTTCAAAGAACAACCATAGGAAAGTTGCAGGGAAGTTTGGATGCGTCCAATTCAGGAAGTAAAGAAAATTATTCGAACAAAGAGGGCAAAGAACTACTTCAAGAACTCCCCATTTGGTTGCCAAATGTAAAGGTAAATTATAAAAGGGGAATGATTGTAAAATAGAAGTTAGGTGTTGACTTGGAGAGAAAAAGGTGATTGTACTGGTCAATAACCATTATCATAACTCATATCATGATATCAAAACTCATTATGGATCATCTTGACCATAGAAAATACCACCCAGATGAACAGTAACAGTACTGAAGCACCTTATCAGTAACCTAAACCAGCAACTAATTCATGTAGAACATCTGAATTGCGAAAGAATTAGAAATACCCTGTAGCTGATTCGAGTGGAAGAAAAGGGAAAAAAAGAAAGAGAAGTCTTAAAACTAAAAGCAAACCAAGAGAGGCAAATCAAAAAGAGGAAAAATGGGGGAAATGGCCAAAAGAAAGGGTCGGAATTAGAAAACAGAATCATACGGATAAACCCAGAATATTCAAATTCACAACAATTAAGAACAAAACCAAATTCAAGGGAATAAAGAATTACAAACTAAAACACACATGCATTTCCTCGAGTAATCAGTAATCAACGTTTTCAACTCCAGCCCAACAATGTTCCCAATAGAGACGAGAAACGAAACCCAGAAATTGAATTAGGGAGCAAAAAGAACAGAAGTACCTTCGGGCTTGGGGGAGGCCAGCAGTGGGGGCGTAGCCATTAAACTTCTCGGATTGAAGAGAATCAACGACGGCCTGTTCCGCGACATGGGTAGTGTGGAAGGCAGAATAAGCAGAAGGGTCGCCCATACCGAGAGAAATGAGGCGTTTGGCATCGTTTTCATCAACGTTCTGCAGGAGGAGACTGAGAATGCCTTTAATGGTGATGGTTGAAGCTGTGTCCATGTCGGAGTTCACAGCTCCAATTTCCATCATGGATTTAGCTTGGGGCCTGGATTGGAACAGGAATTAGGAATTGAGAAATTGGGGTTGTCCTTTTATAGGCGAAAAATTGGAATTATTTCACGGAATGAAATTCCATGCACACAGACCACACGTTGGATTTGAAGCTGCCCGTTCTCTCTTCTTCTTCTTCTTCTTCTTCTTCTTTCTGCATGGAAACAAAATCGAGGGCATTGTTGGATTGTGCTGTTACACTCAAATTTCAATTTTTCCATTCTATATCATAATTCAAATGAAATCATAAATTAGACATTCCATTTACGGGTATTTTGGTTGGGGACATTTTCTAGTACTATATTCTATTCTATAAATATAATCCCTTCTCTTGAATGCAGCACTAAAAGTTGGAGATTTCGTATCCCTATCTTTGGGTAATAAAAATAAAACCGCATAAAAGAATCATGATACTCCGATTGTGAGGTCGGCATCATAAACGTAACCCACGTTTGGAGTTGGAGTCGGGGGTTGTCATATTTGTCGAGCGGGTTCCACGACTAAATTCAACTCACTTAAAATAAATATAAAATACAACAATTGATTTAACATGATTAAATATTTCATCACCTTAAATACAATTTTCTTAACTCATACTACAGGACCTTGTCCCGAACTTTAGTTTACCTAGACTTAAGTTACACAATCGACCTACATGTTGCTATCCAAGTTTAACATTTGTAAGTTCAAGATGCCGAATCTACGTGTGCTAATTAAACATCCAGTAACATATTTTATTATGTTCATATTGACAATTGCATTTAACTGAGCCTTTTTTCTTTTTTTTCTTTTGGAAATTTCTTGATGTAATTTTGACCTATCTTAAAATTTTGAAAAAATATTGTAACATCACTTGTTTTTCCATTAAGTTCTTCAATAAATGTATTTATACATGCAGTCGGTTAAATTATTAGGGTGGTTTCAACGATTAAAAAAGAGTAGTCCAATTTTAATTTTAACAAAATAAAACAACGTGGTAACTTAACTATGATTTTTTTAAGCTATATTTTCTATATTAACTATGTTTAAGTGAACGTGTATTTGTCAACTGGAATATAACTCAACTAATTAAGATATATATTTTCAATTTTTGGTCGAAGATTTGAATCTCCATCCCCACATGTTAGTTATGTCCGGTCGGCACTTTATTTTAAAATTTAAATAATTTACTTTTTTAATTAACCAAAGCACTTTATTTTAAAGTTTAAATAATTTACCTTTTTAATTAACCAAAGAATAATTATACAGTTGTTATAGGTTAAGGTTTTAAAAGTTAATAGATTACATGTCTATAATTAGAAAAATAAGTTAACAAAATTAGAAAGTATTAAAAGTTTGAAGATTACACGTTAATTATTCAAATAATGAAAGACAACTAAATATGAAAAGGAATAAAGAGATAATAAGAATTAAGAACAAGGGAAAAAAAACAAGAAAAATATAACTTTTTTTAAATACACATTTATACCACATATGGAAGGGTAATAAAGTCATTTTCCTTCACCTTTTTTTTATTAATTTAAAAATGTGTGTCTATTAGTAAAATAAAATTTATTTTGATTTTTGTTCTGGTTTGTTCGAGAGAACTTTCCAAGTGATTTCTTTTTTTTTTTCCAGTCATATCGAAGTAGATAGTTGGTGAGGAATAAGGATAGTTTGGTCACAATAATAATAGATTTACTTAGGAAAAAAAATTAACTTGTTTTCTACCATAATCATTAGAATATATAATTCATCCTATTAAAAAAAAGAATATATAATTTATCTATATATCCTTAAAAATATATCTATCTAACAAAAAATAAATAAAACAAATTTTAGGTTTCTTATAGTATTTTAATTTTTTTTATTTTGAGCGAAGCATGATTATTTGTTATTATAATTAAATTAAATTAAATTATATATATATATATATATATATATCTTTTAAATAAATGTCGGTTGATTTAATATGACATAATAGATAAATGATGAAAAAAATAGCTAGCAATAAATTACAAACTAGAACGTTCAACAAATTAAGTAACATATTAATCACTTTCTTTAAAGTCAAAGATTCAAATTTTGATATCGACATTTATTGTATAATATATATAGAAGTTGACCTAAAAAAATATTTTCGAAAAATGGGAGTTTCACCCTTTTGAATTTTAAAACTACTTAAAAAAAATAAAAATTGGTCAGGATTTTAAAAATATTTATAAAAATTACATTAAAAAAAACTAAATAGTTATAAATGTGGGTCTAAATGTGCATTTTTTAAATCACGGCACTCTCATTTATGATCTATGTTTAGTTTCAAAAGGAGGAGAATATCTTTTTTCTTTTTCAAATTTCCATAAAAGAAAGTAAATTGTCCTTCAAATTAACTATATAACAAAAAGGTTATCTACTTGACATCGAATGACAATGACAGTACAAAAGATTAGAAGAGTATGAGTTAAAAAAAAAGAAGACATGTCCATGTGATTTATAGTATTAAAAAGTATATTCTTTTGTTTTATTAGAATCTTTTTTTACAACGTGACACGATGAACTAAAATGTTGAATGATTACGTCAAAAAGAGATAAATAATTATTTTTCTACAAAACGTATGGACATGATTTAATATAATTTTTTTATAGTAAAAAAGGAAGAAAAAAAAAGTGAGATGTGAAAATTTAGACATCTGGCTTGAAAGAAAAGAAATAAATGTATTTACTGTTGAACCAAACATTTGAGTTAAATTGATATTTTTTCTCTATCAGTTGAAAAGTCTCGTACTTAAAATATATAATATTAATGTTTTTTTTAAATATACTATTTCATATTATACACTTGTTGTTAAAACTAAACCAGGTAAAATATAATATTTTAAAATAATAATTATATTAAATTTATAACATATAGCTGGTTAATAAGTCAATAAATAATATTTTATATTAAAATTAATATTTAGTTGGTAATTACCTCCGTTCACAAATATTTAAATTAAGATACAATTTCCAAATCTTCTATCAATACATATTCGAAAGAGATATATTTATATATCTCTTATTATGAATGCAGTAAACTCATAGTGGGCTAATTCATGAATTGAATCAAATGGGTCCTTTTTTTAACTAAGCGGTAGAGTCACGCTCTTTAAACGTCCTAAAAAATAGGCGTAAGTCATCGGTTCTAATCCGATAAAGGTGCTCTATTTTCCACGAAACTCCTGTCTTAGTCTTGATTTTTCAGCGGAGGATATAGATATGAAAAAAAAAAAGGTAAAGACTTGTGATATAATTTTTTTTTATTATTATTGAATCCATTGTTTTCATTTTCATATTACTAATCCAGCTTTTATTGTTCAAGTGCAGAGGAAAAGGAGGGAGAGATTAAAAGAAAAATAAGAGAGAGAATATTTATGTATTATGCCCTTTTTGGTAATTGGCCAAGGTCATTTGTCTGTAAAATCCATTAAGATCGAAAAAGTCAAAAATTGGTGGCAGCCAAAAAGGAAATAATGAGTTACTTGTACCAACTTTCATACCTTTTTGTTTTATTTTCCACCTTAAACCTAAAATCCAAAATAAGATGATGAATATGGACAACCATACGTATATAAAATTGGTATTAAATGAAACTTTTGAGAGTGGTTTTCAAAATATTTTCAACCCTTTTAAAGAATATTAATAATAAAATCTTAATGTCAATGGAAACATAATTCTATATATATCTCAATTCTCTCATAAAATATGTTTTTAAAATAACTTTTGAAAAAAAAATTAATCCACTAATAAGTAATAAGTAGCCAGAAATATCTGAGGGTTCGTTTGGTTGATGATCTAAAAATAAAGCAATAGATTCAATGAAAAACAAAGTTGGCCAAAGCGAGCATCGATAATTGATGTATTATCTCCAATCAAGAGGTTGCAAGTTCAATCCTCACCTCTACGTATTGCACTAAAAAAAAAGAAAAACAGAATTGTATTGAAAAGCTATTTTTAAAAAACAAATCTATCAATTGAACATGCAGCCTCACCCCAGTTTGTTTACTGTCGCTTCTAAATCTAAATTACGTACCAAACATTCCTAAACATTTTTAGGCAAAAAAATCTCCTCCTCCCCCAAGAACTTATTTTAAACGTGACAAAAATTTATTAACTAATAGAAAGTGGGTTACTTAATTATGATTTATGAGTTAGGTCTAATTAATTAAAATTAGTTAATGAGGAGGTGTCCTTTAAAAAAGTTAATATTATTTCATTATTTAATTAGGATATAATCATTAAAAATAGATTTTTAAGGGGATATTTAAATGTGATCACTCATTTTTTGTTTTCTTAGAAAGGTGATTATTTCTTTTTTTCTTGTTTTTTTCTTTTTTTTCCGTAGTAGAGGCAAAAATTCGAATACATGATGATCTTTTAAAAAAAAAACAAAAGAAAACTAATTGAACTGGGTTGGAGGAGGAAAAATAAAGTGAATTATTAAACATTAAATGTTGAAGTTAATGTGTAGACTCATGAGGTTGGTGATGAAAATAGTTAGAGTGAATATTGTTAATTAATTAATATTTATGCATTCATTTGAGAATTGACATTCTTAAATATATATATATATAATAGAAATAGATTATTTTGATAAATAGTTAGATTTAGTGAAAATTTTTAATAAATACAAAATTTTAAATACCATTTTGGTGATCATATTATATTATATCTAAACTCTATGTATTTTTAAAGGTCTAAAAATTTCGCTATGACATTTTTAAAAATAATCTTAAAAGTAGTCCATTTGAAGCAAGATTTTTTCTTTATTTAGCAAAACAAAATAAGAAAAACTTTTTATTTATTAAAGACACAATGTGAATATATTGGTCAAATTTTTAAAATAAAAAAGGGACTAATTTGTTGTAGTAAAATGTAATTTTATATAAATATAACCTAGAGAATAATGGTAAGCTTTATTGAAAGTAGAATGATCAAATTTAGATATGTGTAAGTATATGATTATATAACAAGTTTTAAAATATAGAGGTCAAAATACTAATTCAACTTAAAAAAATATATCATAATGTCAATGGTTAAATTAAAATTAAAAACTAGAGTAAAATTGAAAAAAAAAACACAACATTAAGTATTTAACAAACTGTACTTAAAAAAAAGCCTGTAAATAATAAAGTGAGTAGAAATTAAAAGGACAAAAACCAATTTTGTGTAATTAAAAAAAACAAAAACCAAAAGAAAACAAATTTTGGGATACGATCAGTAATGGGATGCAAGCCACGTGGCAGAAGCTCACGCATTGATATCTGATCATCAAGCGGAATGCACGGAGGTGGGCATGCAATAATTGAATCCTGAACGACAGCTGTTAATTGGTTTACAGTTTGGGTACAGCTATTAACTGCCGCACGGAATCATAGCTCTCCGTACTATACGCTGTCGTTCTGTTGGAAAAATTATCTTAACGATGGGGCCCACATGGTGAGTCACGTCATCTGACCGCGACCATGCAAAGTTTCGCCGTACGGTCGTTTAATAATGACTTATTTTTCAAAAAAGAAAAAAATTTTGTTTCAATTTCATTTTTAACCTTTCTTATTAGTAATTTCATTTTTAACCTAAGCTTTCAAATTTGTTCCCCAAACTTTTGAAAGGTTCGTTTTTAGTCTTTAAATTCTTAAAAAATGGCAAAATACATTTTTAATCTCTAAAATTTGAGGCCAAAATGTAACAAATTAAAAATTTTTGGAATAAAAAATGAAAATTTTGAAAACTAATTGTCTAACGATTTAATTCTTATTTTTTAAATTGTAGCAAAATATTTTGTATTTTTTTTTTTTTGGGAAAAATTAAGAACTTTTATTTGATTAAGGACTAAATTTATGCAGCACAAATTAATTTTTTAAACTATATATAAGTAATATTATAATAAAATTCTCAAATTATGAATGAAATCTATACTTATTCATTTTCGTACTTCAAAATTTAACGATTCTATTTTAATACTTCATATTTAAATCTTGTCAATTAATTACCAACCTTAAAATTATGAGAAAAGAAATATTAACAATTGTGGTCAAAATTTCATCCCGAACCTAATAAAAATTTTAGATTAATTTCAACATTCGATACATATGTGATACGATACTACATATGACTTCAAATAATTGTAAATGTAAATATGATTTATCATAATCAAAAGGTTAATAAAAAATATAGATATAGAAAGAGAGAGAGAGCAGTACCAAATTTGGTTGAATAGATAATTAAATGGGAGGAATTGCTTCAAATTTGTATTTGTGTTCTGAAACTGGGCTTTCCAAAATGATGGTGTAGGGTATACAAACTTTGTGAAATGGATACAATTTGGAAGTTAAATACATATATATAGTGTATCAGAAAACATTGGATAAAATAAAATTTTATTTATAGATAAGGTTGATGAATAATGGGAAACTGTAATAAAATAAATATATCCTATTCAGTGTCACGTATGCCCCAAGCAAGTGTCCAAGACGTTTATCCAACTCCCATGACTTCCCATATATTATTCAACCAAAAAAAAAAAAAAAACACAATAACAACAAAACTAACTGGATAAGCATTTAGAATTTTACTCATGGAAGCTACCTTAGGTACCTCTTTGGCTCGATTTGATTTGTCGGGTTTGTTTCGTAACATTCTCGTTTCATCGTTTTCGTGTTTTATAAAGAAACAAAAATATTCGTATTTTGTTTCTTGTTATTTCTTTAAATTAAAAGTTTGTGTCTGAAATTTGTAAGATTATATACATCATTTAGTTAATATGTTTAAAAATTTTCTTATAGATTGTTAAAGTTTTTGTATCTATCTCGTTCCAGTACTTTTAAAGGGTTGCTTAACCTGATTATGTGGGATTGTCTTGTAAATTGATTTGGAGTAAATTTTTGTATTTGGTGGTATAAAGTCAAATGAATGAAGTTAAATATCCAGACATAAGATTAAAGTTCAATATATACCTATAACTTTTACTTGGACTCTTCCATTTGCTCCCCTTTTCCACGATAAAAGTATTATTTTAAAATCTAGATAACCTACGTTTATTTAAACGGAATGAATTGATCGATTTGAGAATATTATTTATTTGATCAATTTAGTATAAATTAACTGGAATTGAAATCATAAATGATCTATCGATGTTGTCGAATAGGAACCAAATATACTACCATTACTAGAATATCCATGTATATATATTTTTTATTTCTAGCTAAGTACCAGTTAAGTTAACATGTGTTAATATTATTATTTTTAATTAAAAAATAATAATAAACTTTAATTTATTTTATTGCTAGTAAATATTTTTATTTTAACAATTTATTTAATAATAACCCATAACAAATAATTTAAATAAAATTACATCAACTACCAAAAACCCCTAAAATATGGTAGTTATTAGCAGCTATAAACTTTGAATGGTAAAAATTAAAATATCAAACTTTCACAAAATGAAAATATTAGAATCCTAAAATTTCCATGGTAAAAATTAAACATTTAAACTTTTAGGGGTTAGAAATTGCCCATAAACTTTCCGGAGTTTAAAGGTTAAATTTATTTAAAAGGTTCAGAGTTATAATTTTTCATTTATTAAGGTTTTAGGGTTTAATTTTTACAATTGAGAGTTTATAGATACAATTGTAACAACTATCATAGTTTACGGGTAATTTGTGCATTTTTATTAGAACAACTACCAATAATATAAAGTAGTATAATTTTTTATATTTAATATTAATTAAGAATAACACAATTAAATTAAATTTAAATTTATAACCGTTTATAATAAATCACTAATAAAAATTATTAATAGTATAAATTAATAAATAAATTAATTAATTGTAAAATAAATAATTAAAAATTATGGGTCAGAAATGGTAAAAATTTGTAAAAAATAGTTATTGAGAATATGTGGGCTGGTCCAAAAAAATAAGCATAAGAATGTCTGAGATTAGACTTTTTAGGGACAAGTCTGAAGTGAGTCACGCCCATTTATTTCATTCCTACCTTTTTTTTAAGTTTAGTTAGAGTAAAAATTGTTTCACTCTGCGGTAAATTTTTATTTTTCAAGATAAAATTACCAACAATAGGCTTCGCGTTCTTTAAAATAAAAAAATTATATAATATTTAAAAGAAAGTCAAATATATATATATAGTAATGGATCAATACGTTGAAACAAGATTGGTCAAAAAATAGACCCAATCCATGCTATATAATATATGTAGGACTTGGTCACTTGAATTAATTTCTTTCCAGGCTTCCAAACTTACCCCCACAAAGACTTCTTCCAAACCATTTTAAGCCCAAATTTATTCATCATTTCAACTCAATTAAAAAAAATATGTAACTTTCTTTACTTCTTTTTCTTTTATCTTTTTAAGAATATAGTGCTAAAAATGTAGAGGTGATTCAAACATTTGATTTATAAGAGAATTTCTAATATTATAACTTTTCCACTAATCTCGAGTCATTCGCATTTTCTTTTGATTTTGTTTTCTTTAAATGATTTTATTTTATTTTAAAAAATAATTTTAATGATTTAACGCTTAATACAATGACAATTTAAAATGATGGAATATTAGCTTTCCAAATTAAAAAGTAAAAGTCTAAAATTAGGACTGGACCAATAAGTATAAATTTTTCAGATCAGAGTTTAGTTGTATTCACAATGTCAATATATATGTCGTGAAAATTATACATTTAACTATTCAATTCAAACTATCATCTTTTGTCGTGTGATGTATAGATCTTTGGTTAAATATTGAAGTCTAATGTCCAAACTACTCCATAGTTATCCAAAACAACTCCACTCCACCAAGTTTATAATTTAACCATATATTTTAAGACTTTTGGTAAAATTTTCAAATTAGTTTGAAATTTGAGAGCCTCCTTCATTTGACGGTAATCTTGGAAGTCCCATTGGTGGGGTAAATTTTCATTTTTCATGTCTACCTAACCCGCCATTTTTCGATAGTGAGTCAATTTCCACGAGTCAACACCGCGTCGACTCGTTGAAATCGGTGGTTATTGACTCAATTTAGTAAAACTCCTAGGTTTTTATTTTATTATAATATTATTTATTGAGCTCAATAGTGGGAAGTTCGTCCAACACTAACTTTGGTTTTCCTGTGTTGACTCGGATCGTGGTCTACTTTCCAAACTGTTGGACAACGATGGCCCTCGCATTCCGAATATCTCCGCAATAATAAAATGTTGTCCGCTTTTGACATAATTTTTACATCCTTACTTTTGGTTTCACTAAAAATATCTCGTACCAATAAAAATAATTGTCATTTTTCACATATCATGGATCATACTCTCTGACTTTGTCGTCACCTTTTTACAAATCCAACACAAATGCAATTTTTTTTCTTTCAATTTTATTGTTGAAATTAATCTTATGCCCACTTACTTGATGACCACGCTCTCGTCTTTATTTCAGATATTGATAATATCTCTTTCTTCATCATTTTGTTATGACAATATTCTTCATCTCGATAATGTTATGTTGATTCTTAAAACCGATCTTTTATAAATTGAATTCGGTTGAACAACTTTGTGATAAAGATCGCTAAAGTTTTGCCATTTGTACCTTAGCTACCTGTGTTATCAAGGAACACACATATGTATCTAAAAGGTACCGCCTTGATTGAGAATCAATGAAGGTACCTAAATGAAAAGTTTTACTTTCTAAAAATCCAGAATTTTTTTAAAGAAAAATGTCATAAATATCAGGTCTCACATTTGTTTTTAGTAATTACTTTACAACTTTGACTTCTTCAATGACGTATATCTAATTTTTTATTTATTAAATTTACAATTTCTTTATTTATTTATACAACTAATAATTTTTATTCTACTCACAGATCCAACTAACTTTTTTCTGTTGACATGATCTTATTATAAAAGAACAATTACAAATTTTATTTAATTTACCAATTATTTACATTTACTTCATAATTATTAGTTAATATTATTAAAATTATTAAAATATAATTTTTTTATTAATAAATATCTTATATTAATAGTGATGGTTGAATAAAAATAATATTAATAATTTTTAGCTGAATTAATTTTATTTTAATTGTTTATTATTTATCAATATTAAATAAATTATTAAAATAAATATACTATCAGTAAAATAGGTAATAAAACAAATTAAAATCTATTATTATTTTAATTAAAAATAATATTAGTGCACAATTTAGTTAATCATTTATAATTAGCTGTAAATAAAAAAAAAGTAACACTACAACAATTGATCTATGTCGGATTAATATCCATATTTCAGGTAATTTCAGTAACCTAACATTTTCGTATTCATATTTCATAAAATTTATAGTAAACAATAAAAAAATAAAAAAAACCAACATCCTCATTCTCAATTCTTTTCTTTTTTTTGATTTTGAGTACGTAAATTAACATGGTCTTTAGTGTTCTAGGTTATAACTAAAATTTCATTTTCATCTTAAAAAAAGTAAAATAATTAACATTTATTTAATTTATAAAAGTTGTATTTTTATTATTACCCCGACTCTCTAATTCTTTCTAAATTTAGAGAAGAGGAGCATTTGTGGTGTCTAATTCATTTAACAATGTGCTTCGAATTCAAAATCGGGACCATTGACCCAATAGTTATTTCTTTTTTTATAGGACCTGCATAATAAATAACTTATTATTTTTTTCTTTCAGGGGTAATGAATAACTTATTTTAATTCCTTGAAACAATACTCCTTATGTTTTACTGCGGTTTGTAGTGATGTGTGATTTGGGGACGTCAACTGAATCGGTGGTCTGAAATTGACCTAACTGACTGTGACTAGGAGGATTTTTTACTCGAACGGCTGGATCAAAGTTCACTTGCACATAGAAAATATGCACACTTCAAATGCTTAAATCAAGAGAAAATTGAGAAAGAGAAATGAAAAGAACTCAATTTAATAGCAATGGAGTGGTATTGTGTCATTTTTCCTACATCCTTTGGCTTTGATACAGAACATGTGGGGTGGGGGTTCGAACTCATAACCTCTTGATTAGAGTTAGGCACCTTAACCAATTGAGTTATGTTCGATTTGATATTTTTCCTACCTCCCTTGGCTTTGAGGACCCCTTGCATTTATAGGGGTCCTTTTGACTTCACTTCCAAGTAAAATTGGAGGACAAAGTTTGCATGTGAGACGATGATGCATTGTCACTCAAAAGTGGACAAGGGACTGTGGTGGTACGGGGTGGCGCTGCCAAGGCAGCAGTGTGTGAGTTGGTCTCATGCTTTGGTTGTGCGGGCAGTGTTCTGGTTGTGGAGAGGGCACACCTTTCGAGAGGGACACGGCCAGTTGCATGACCCTTCCAAATGTCCCAATAGCTTGTATAAGGATAACGAGAGAGAGATATACATATATATATTTTGTTAGATACATTAACGTAAAATAAGGGAATTAGAATCAACTTTTAATTATTTAAAAAATTACATAACTTTTCTTTTGACAAATATTTTGTCTAAATTATATATATTATATACGGTTAAGATCTCACGTTGATAAAAGAAGGGACGACATGACTACTTCTCTCATTGTCAATTAGTTTTGAAATTGAATTCCATGAATATTAATATATACTAATTAAAATTATGATTTTTTTTTGTTAATAAAATGAATGCATGACGTAGAATGTTTGTTAAACAAATATCATTGATTTAATACACCGTAAACAAGTAAATTTGAAAAAAAAAAGCCAAAATGAAAGAAAATCAACGAAATTGATCTGTTTCAACTACGTTTGTCAGTCAGTACAGTTCTTCCAAGGTAGGGAAAAAAAAACAAAAATTGTCTATATTTGATTTCATTGCATTTGACATCGTTGGATTCTAAAACATGATTGATAACCATGTTTATTTTTTGTTTTATGTTTTTGAAAACTAAGCTCCAAAGTCTAAGCCAAAATTAAGAGAAAATAATTTTTAAAAATTTGACTAAGAATTACAAACGTATATTTGTTTTTTTCAAAGAAACCTGAAGACATAGAAAGTAAATTATGACTTATGAGAAATGCATTGAGTTTTAATGAGTTGGTTGGAAAACGGGGAGCAGAAGGGAGGGGCAAAATGGAGAGATCGATGAGCAGTGGATGTGGATTGGGCTTGGGCTTCGGGAAGGCCCAATGAGAAAAAGGCCGTGTCCATTTCCTGACTCGTACTGCTACGCTGCCAGCCGTAACCCGAGGGCGGCGCGGGTGACTTCACCTTGTCGTCACGCGCGATCCGCAATGCATGATAATCTCTCTCGATCCACGCGCCTCTCCTTTTATTTTCCTTAATTATTATTATTTCCACGCTACAAAACAAATTAAATAAATAAAAAACCTCGGGATTTCTCGTTTCCCTATGTTATATATAGTTTTCATTTTTTTACACCCAAAAAAAAAAAAAAGTCAACTGAAGTGGTAAACCCGTAAAAGTTAAAAACCGCCAAGACCGCCGAACCGGACCGGACCCCTTTGGTAAAAAGTGAAAAAGAAGGGGATGGGGTGAAATTTGGGAAGATTGGGAGGGGGATTTTGTGACCCAATTTGGGTAAAAATTGGGAAGAAATGAGAAAATTTTGTAGTGTGGGGAGGGCGTAGAGTAGAGAGGCAGCATGTTGTGTAATAAATATGAGAGAGAGAGAGAGTAAAAAAAAAAGAGGATGATTTGATGTAAAGCCTGTGGTGTAGTGTGGTCTCAAAATCCGAGCATGATGTGTCAAAATCCCATTGCATCAATCTCTCCAACTTCTTATGATGGTGATGGATTGGATGGATGGATGGATGGGATTGATGACTACAATTTTCCCCATTTTACTAATCACACACTCCTAATTCTCTTTGTTTTTCTTCCGAATCCCATATCAAATTTACCTTACCCAACACATTATTAATTCATTTCACTTTCATATTCAAGTTCTTTTGATCCCTCTTTCTATTATTTGAAATTGGAGTTGATGGACTCAACAAGATTTATAAATACATCGATTACTCATCTTGATACTAATTAGTTTTGAGATTGAACTTTATGATTAGTTAGATGTTTGCATGTTCTTGAACCTGAATTTTTAAAAGTATCTAATCAATTCCAAATATTTGACAAGCTTTTTAACTTTTTGAAAAGTGATCCGTAAGTCTCTAAACTTGATTTCATGTCGAATAGATTTCTTTTAATTCAAGAACTTATAGATACACAATTGAAAGTTAAAAAATGCGTGTTTGGGATTTATGAATAAAAGAAAACAATAATTTTAATATATAATTTAGAGAGAAAAAAAGAGGAAAGGGAAAGAGTTGGAATAAATGGAATATTTTGGATAATGATGGAGTTGTGTGAAGGCCACAGAGGTTCCTATTTTTGCTATGACAATTGAAAATGATGGCCCCTCTGCCTCTGCCTCTGCCTCTCATTTCATTTTTATTTTAATTCATTTTTCCATATTATCATATAAACAACATAATATCACATGTAGCCATATGTTAATTTTTACGGCTCACAATTCCTAAAATCATAAATAAAAAGTCGTTTTCACCACAAATGTACATAGCATTGACAAATCACAAACAACCATATTTGACTCACGAATCGAATTTGTATAACTCAAGATTGATTTAGAAGTCAAACCCTGTAATTAATGGGTAGATTTCTTTTCTAATTTCAATCACATAAAAAAAATTGTATATTTTGGTTTTTTTTCTTTGAAAAATATATTTTGGTGATTAATGAAGAGAGGAGAGAGAGAAAAAAAAGAGAAAAAGTTATGGGTGGTGGCAATACAATGATGAAATGTGGAAAGCATATGGGAAAAAAAGGAGACATTTTTGGATGAAGTTTTTAGTGTCAAAAGACATTAAACCAAAAAAGAAGGAAAAGAAGGCATTGGCAAAAGGAGTATGGGAATTATTAATTGCCAAGAGAATCCTTAAAAGGGTGTGGCCAATATTGTAAACCCATTACATAATATAATAATAATAAATCTTGGTGGAAGAAAAAACTAAGAACCAAACAAAAACAGAGAATATGAGAGAGAGAGAGAGAGAAGAAGGAAAAAAAAAGTTTGGAAAATCTTTTTTCTATTAAATGCTTTCACTGTGCTGACAGAGAGAGATTTGGAAACAGCTTTATTGATACATTGCTGAAGATCAAACACAAACACCCCTCCTCTCTCTCTCTCTCTCAAAAAGATTAAAAAGAATTTTATGTTTTCTTTTAAGGTGATAATAGATAGTTTATTTGTTGATCTAGCCATATTTGAGTTAATAACTCTATTTTGATCAGTATACTTCCACAAATTAAGCTGGTCAGACAAAAAAATTGGGAGTTCGAATAATTCTCACCTCATATGTTGTACTGAAAGAAAAATTATGTTTTGATTATATATTATATGATTGGAAATAAGGTAGCTAGCCACACGTTTTGGTGTCACCGTATTGAAATTCTTTTACCTTTAGGTTCATGAACTTCCGGGGAACTATTTAGACCCTGTAAACAGTTTTTAATGAACGACTTTCTGTTCGTGTTTTAATAGGTCTTTTAATTTATATGGATTCGTTTAATAGTACTTGTAACTACACATGATTGAGTTGTGGGAGTAAAACAAAAATTTGTAAAGTTTAAGAAAAATGTGGTGGGTTGATTTCCGGCATAATTATTAGGTCACATTCGAACTATTAAGCTAATACAGTTAAAAAGACGATTACCTTAATCATGAATTGCAACTTTGAAGTAACAATTTACTCTATAAACTTTTAGCGGTAACATTTAGCTCATAGACTCTATTTTGTAAATATTCAGTTTCTATACTTCAAAATTAATAACAATTTAGTCTCTTCACCATAGTATGCAACAATTTAGTATCTGTGTTCAAATTTGTAACGATTTAGTAGTCTCTACCCCGAACATTTTTGTTAAGTTTTTGTACGTAGATCCATAAACCAATGAAATACCAAATAATGTATTTATAAATTACAAATACTAAATCATTTTTATTGGTCCTGAACTAGATTGTCACAAATTCTAAACTATATGAATTAAATTGTTACCTACAAAATTTCAACGACTAAATTGTTACCAATTAAAAAGTGTATAAACTAAATAGTTACAGATTAAAGACTAAATCGATATCTTAACCAAAATACAATCCTGCAAATATTCTTTAACCAATCTCTTGAGAGTAAACAGTAGACAAAACACACACACCACCAAACATAAAATTCGAACAACACGTTACAAATCCATCGTTTAAGTTAAACTCAAACCCGAACTTTAAAAAGTAGATCGAAACAAGCTACTAGAGAGAGACCAAAACAAAAAACTGATTAACCAATCTTTTAAAAGTAAACAGTGGGCAGAACACATACAACACCAAACATAAAATTCGAACAACATGTTACAAATTCATTGGTTAAGTTAAACTCAAACCCGAACTTTAAAAAGTATACAATAGATCCGATCGAAACAAGGTACTAGAGAGAGACCAAAGCCAAAAACTGGTTAATTGAAGCATAAGAAACTTTGGTTTGGTGGTGGTGGTGCTGCTGCATCTATGTATGTGTGTAGAAAAGAAACTACTTTCTGTTGCCTTCATTTCATTTTCGTTCACTGACAGAGGAATACCTGCACACTTCCTCACGCACGCACGCATACTCAAATCAGAACCCCCCTGACGCATACACATCACCATTTCTCTCTCTCTATCCACAACACGACACACACAAAAAAGACCAAATTTTTTTCTTATAACTCCCCCCTCCTCTCTTTTTCTATACATTTTTCATCTGGGTTTTCAATTCTCTCTTCTGGGTTTGCCTTACATTTCTCCATTTCCCTTCAATTCCTCACCTTTTTGCTCCATGGACTACAATCTCACCTCCTTCTCCGCCGCCGCCGCCGTCGACACCAACCTCCCGCCGGGCTTCCGCTTCCACCCCACCGACGAGGAGCTCATCACTTACTACCTCCTCAAGAAAGTCCTCGACAGCACCTTCACCGGCCGTGCCATTGCCGAGGTTGACCTCAACAAGTGCGAGCCCTGGGAGCTCCCCGGTAAAATAAAATCACTTTTGCCATTTTCAAAATCCCGAGTATTAGATTTTGAAAAATCAATTATACTTAAATCTTTTTTTTTTTTTATTTACTCAGAGAAGGCGAAGATGGGGGAGAAGGAGTGGTACTTCTTCAGTCTCCGGGACCGGAAGTACCCGACCGGTCTGCGGACGAACCGGGCGACGGAAGCCGGATACTGGAAAGCCACCGGAAAAGACAGGGAAATTTACAGTGTCAAGACTTGTTCACTTGTGGGGATGAAGAAGACATTGGTTTTCTATAGAGGGAGAGCTCCAAAAGGCGAAAAGAGCAACTGGGTCATGCATGAATATCGCTTGGAAGGCAAATTTGCTTACCATTACCTCTCCAGATCCTCCAAGGTACTAATTTTAATCATCTCAAACCCTAATTTTGGAGGTTAGGGTTTCTTGTGCTTTGGGCAGAACCTTCAAACGTAAAGTTTTGATTTTTAATTTTCATAAGATTTGGGTTACGAATTGTAATGTGATTTTGTTTTTCAACACATTTAATAATTGAGAAGAAGTTAGGAATTTGAAACTAAACCGTTATAGGACGGTGTGATTGTGGGGGCAAAACCCAACAACTTTGTTAAGAAACTCTAATTTATTTGGTAAACTCATGAGGGTTGGATTTAAAGATGGGCATTTATGGTAACAGATTAAAATAAGTTCGAATTTTTTTTTAATTTAATAATAAGTTTAGAATGTACATGAACAACGTAAGACGAATCAAATTTAAATGTAATTGAACTCATAATTAAAAAAAATTATGACTTTTATTCGAATGAGATTAAATGAATTAAAAGAAGTTAAAATTTTGCTTTTTTTAATAGAGATTATTAATTATTATGATTTTGAGAAGAAGACATTTGTTTTTTTAGGATGAGTGGGTGATTTCGCGGGTGTTTCAGAAGAGTGGCTCCGGCGGCGGCGGGTCGGGCAACGGCGGGTCAAAGAAACCCCGTTTTCTTGCCGGGTCAATTAACGTTTACCCGGAACCAAGTTCGCCGTCGTCGGTGTCGGTATCGCTCCCGCCGCTTCTCGATTCGTCGCTGTACTCCGCTCCGGCGACTGCCACGGCGGGTTCTTGTAACGTAACCGACCGTGACAGCTGCTCGTACAACAGCCCAACCACAAGAGAGCACGTGTCCTGTTTCTCCACCGCCAACGGCAGCAGCAGCAGCAGCTTCAACATCCCAAGCTACGATTTTTCCACTCCGCCGCCGCTCCTCGCCGGCGACCCGTCGGCCCGATTCCCCCGAAACATCGGCCTCTCGGCGTTCCCAAGTCTCCGGAGCCTGCAGGAGAATCTCCAGCTTCCGTTCTTCTACTCCCCCGTGAACGTCCCCTCTCCCCCGCCGCCGCCGCACGGCAACATCTGCTCCTCCACCGACGCCGCCACCGGGAATTGGGCCGTCTCCGACGAACCCAGATCGATGAACTCCACTGAACTTGATTGCATGTGGACCTACTGAAGTTTGAATTTGCTAACCCGTTTTCTTTTTTTTTTCTGTCTCTAGAATTTTAGATCGTCAGAATTTTCGTGCAGTGTTATGTTTCGTTATGATTTCGTATTTGAAATTAATGTTGTTAGGACTTAGAATCCGCCATGATCTTTTATCATCATGATGTTGAATCCATCACTTCCCCATGCTTGTTTGTTTGTTTGTATGTTTTCAAGTACTAATTTTTCGTACATTTCTCGTGAGTTTATATATATATATATATTTTATTGTCATGTTTTAATCTATGGTTTAATTAGAGATTTTAATATCTGTCCTAGTGTTTTCTTGATTGTGTAATTAAGTTTGAGTGTTTTTGAAATTCGGGTTGGGAACTTCTTTGATCTCGTTTTTTGTTTGTGGTTAAGTTTGATGAAATTGGGAGTTGAAATCTAAATGAATGTAAATACACGATACAAGTTTGATAACGTCGTCATTTTTTGTGTCTATTTTATAATTTTTAATAAATAAAAATAAATTGACCTCCATAAATTGTAGAATGATATAAATCATCTTTTTATTTATGCTTTTGAAAAATTTTGAAAATTGTAACAAGAAAAAAAGAATGGGTTTGAATTGTTTTTATAAATTTTATACCATTTTGAAAATGTTCCAAAAAAAAAAAAAAGAAACAAAAAAGCATCAAATACTTAGTTTGTTTTTGTAAATTTTATACCATTTTGAAATTGTTCAAAAAAAAAAAGAAACAAAAAAACACTAGATTTCTTAAAAAAAATTAAAAACGAAAAAATATTATGGTTTAAAGTTAAATTTTGTTCTTAAAGGAAAAATATTATATTAAGAAAATTTACGACTTGTTTAGACTCCAATTGATAATTATTTTGGTTTTATTGGATAACTATTTCATTTTTAACTTCTTGGTCTAAAAATTAGGTTTACTTCACAATTTCAACGTCAGACACCTTTTTTAATGAAATATTGAATCTTGATTCAAATTTTTTTAAAAAAAATATTTTTGAAAACAATTGTTTTAGTTTTCAAATAGCTTAGATATTGTAATATCCAGACAAATCACATGGATCAATCAAAATTCAACGCCATCTTGCAATCTCCCAATTCATGACCAAAAAATGGCAACCCTAATCAATTTTCAGCTAAAATTTAAGAATAAAATGGTTATAAAAGTTAATTTTAAACTGTTTCTTTCTATTGTTCTCCAAAACATGCTCCCTTTTGTAAGAAAACTTATGGCTTTTGCTGGCTTCAATGACATGTCCTCTACCATTTAAAACACCTTGTGTTTGCTTGAATGTTTTTCAGTACTGGAAAATCCAAGTTCTTGTATGAATCAAAAATTTGATGGCGACTGTTCATGGTGGTGGTGTGTTTTGTAGCTGTTGTTTTCAGAAAAGTTTTCCTTTTTTTTTTTTTTTTTGTTTGTGACTTTATTTATTTTTTTGGTGAAATAACTTGATTTGGGTTGTAAGTGGAAATCCATTTTTATGGGGCGCTGTAAAGTTTTCTGAGATTAGAAAGCTACCTGTCTACGGTTTTGTCTGTGTGGCTGTCTTCTTCCTCTCCTCATTTATTAAATCTTCACCAACTTAATTGTTCTCTATTTTCAGAAGTTACCTCCTCCCTCCTCCTGCACCCCTCAATTATTTGTCTTTTGCCTTTTGTTTTTAATAATATATGTGCAATCTTTCTATGTTTCTTTTTTCATTCACCAGCCCTTTTAGGGTTTTTTTGTTCTTTTTATCATTCTTGCATGTTTTTGAGGTTGGGAATGCAGCTTGGAGAGAGTTTTTTTGGTTGTTGTTAGAATTCGAATGTAAAGTCGTAGATTTTTTAAGGACAATGGTACCTCAAATAGTATCTGTTTTCAGCATAATCCTCACGGTTTTGCTTTTAGAGCCAAAAGGTTTGGAGAGATAATTGTCTTTATTTATATATTATGGATCACTCTCTTTCCTAACCAATGTGCGTATCCCAACTGTTAAGAATCACACGTTGAAAATAAAAAGGATCTAACAAAGATTTATAATAGACGTGGGTTACACCTCTCACTTCCAATTGATTTTGAGATGAAACCTTATGAATATTTATATGATATTAGAGCCTAAAACACTCAAACGAATATCTGGTCTAGAAATGGGACCTGGCCAAGATCGATGAGCCAAAAGAACCACGATCTTGAAGGGGCATGTTAAGAATTACACGTTGAAAAGAAAAGGGACCTAAAAAAGGTTTATAATAGACATGGACAACTCCAGTCACTCCAAATTAGTTTTGAGATGAAACCTTATAAATCTTGATATGGTATCAGAGTCTAAAATACTCAAACGAGTATCCGGTCCAAAAATGGGATTCGGCTAAGATCAATGAGTCAAAAGAGCTACGATCTTGAGGGGTATGTTAAGAATCCCACATTGAAAAAAGAAAAGGGACCTAATTGGAACCCATGAATATTGACACCAACAACTTCATCGCTGCCACAATTGCACTCCGACGAAGCTCATGGAGCAATTGTGTGATACTTGCTTCCTCCCACGAGCAAGCCAGCAAACTCAAAATGGGAGTACTGCTGATGCCACAATAGGATTATATTATATTGCAACCTTCACACATGTTTTATAAGAAAACGATTTTAACAAACGTGGTCGGAGAAAATGTCTTGGAAAACATTTGAGAAAGCATGCAAGTACACAAGTATGTGTTACCATGTTTAAATTTTTTGGTTTGGTGATTTAAAAAAGTGTGATATAAGGTTAAAGTTGGTGAAGAGGGTGTTTGGTTTAAGTTTACCTAATATGTTATTGAATTGTGTGGAGTAATGGTTTATTGAAATTTATAGTTATGTAGTTTATTTTTTAGTAGGTAATTTTAATAAATGATTTTTTTAGTACAATAAATGGGGATGAGTTATTGGACCTCCGACCCTTAAAAAATGAGCAAATATCTCCAATCGTTGAGCTATATTTATGTTGGCTTGAAAAATAATTTTAGGTAGAAGTTAGTAATCTCCATTAATACTTAAAACTTTAACTTTAACTTTGGGTGTCTATAAATTAAGTTGATAGATTAGAGTATTTAATTTTGTATTTATACTCTGATATTTTTCCTAATTTTTTTGGTTCAAAATGGAGATTGATGTTCTACACTATTTTAAGTCATAGGCAATATTGAATGTTTTTTTTTTAATTAGTGAAGATACCTATTGCCATCTAAGCATATAGCTTTTGAAATTCAAAAGGGTGTGAAGGTATAAATTTTGCCTAATCATTTTAATTATTATTTTTAGTTATACGTCGGAATTGAGATTGTACTCATAATCTCATAATCTCTTGGTTGAAGATATATGTCAATTACTGAGCTATGCTCGCTTTGACTTAATCCTTTTAATTAACTTTATAGTATCACTCAAATAACGAATTAAGTATTAATAATCTTTTTTGAGTTTGAAAATTTGAATCTTTTACCTCACATTTTTAAAGAGAAGTGAGCAAATATTTCCGTTTGAAAATTTTAATAAGTTGAAATAATCATATGAATTGAATTGAGTTTTTTCTAAGGTTAGTTTAGATTGAATCAAAACATACTTAGATTGATATTTTAGTAGTTTTGTTTTCCCCATAAAACATAATAAGAAATTATGAATTTAGTTAGTTTAAGTAATTTTTCCTAACATTTTTTTTTTTGACAAAATGTTAAAATGAATTTTTCAAACAACTAAAAACACCTTAGAAGTGGGCAAATTACTTGAAAATGCTTTTAGCTAATTATTTTTTTTTAAATTTACTGTTTATATTTAAAAAATTTTGTTTTAGGCCAGAAAAAAGGACTTCAACTTTGATTGACATTTTATATATTTTTTAAGTGCTCTACTTCAAAATTAATTTGGTTTAATATACTAAAGTCATTTCTAGCTAACGAACTTGTTTCAAAAAAGGAAAAAAAAATTATAGCTATAACGACCGGTTACGATTTCAAAATCAATTGATTCGATCCTCCACTTTTATAATTGTTGAATTAAAAAATGTTTAATGTATTAAAAATTTCTAATCTTTCTAATCTACATTAAAAAAAAACTTTTGAAATTCTAACTAAAATTTGAGAACTATAAAAAAAAATAGTTTTTTTTACCAAATTACATGTTTGTCCACATCTAATTCGGGTACTCTTAAAAATTGGGTTTATGTAAGTTTACTAAAATTTCAAGGTTGTGTCCGTACATCCAATTCTTGTACTCTTAAAAATTTCTAACTTTAAGTTCTTAAATTTTCAATTGGTTAGTTTATATCTTCATGTCGATGTGACGTACTAACTGTTTTATTTAGGGTTTGTTTGAAAACGATATTTATTTCTGGTTTTCTTGTTTCCTGTTTTTAGTTTTTAGTTTATTAAAATAAAACCATATTTGTTTGATAATTTTTTTTGTTTTTTTAAATAAAAAACCAAAAATATATGGGAAACGTTTTTAGTTTTCTGTTTTTTAAAAGTTAGAAAATTGAAAATATATTTTAGAGAAAAAAAAATTATATATAAAGTAGATAAAACAATGGTGTGGGACGGGAGTAAAATATACTCTCTCATTTTTGTGTTCGTGAAGATTTATAGTCCAGCATTTCAATTTTGTTCTTCTGTTCGGGAATCGAGATCCAATTAAAGAATCGGGGACGTGGATATTCGCAGAAAAATTACTGATTTTGTAATTAATTTTAATTATTTTTGAAATTTAAAAAATAAAAAAATATAATAAATATATTAGAATTATTATTTATTAATATAAATAACTAATTTTAAAAATATTTAATATTATATTCACAATTTAGTAAATATGTTAATAAATTATATATTAATTATTTGAAAAATGGAATCGAGGAGGGTTAGAGACATCCATTGAAAGTTCATCATATTAGGTGTCCAAGTGTGTTGACGCCTTGCATTAAAATACGCTTAAACCTTAAAAGACGAGAACACAATCTTTAAAAAATTTAAAAATCTATTAAAGACTTATAATAACCAATACTTTACTGTTATATTTTTTTACCCTTAACTTTCACACCAAGAAAACGTTTAAGAAATAACTTAAAACTTTTTATCTAGTTTGGAATTGGAATGATTTAAAATAAATATAATTAGATTTCTTTGTTCAAATATTTCTTAGAAAGGAAAAAAATTATTATTATAAGCTTTTAATCTTTAATTTATTAATTAAAAATTAAAACATGACAAAGTTAAATAAGTAATTTACTTTAAAAGTCTTTAAAATCTAGTTAAAGTTCTGAAGATTTTTTTTTTTAAAATGAAAATACGATTTGAAATCAAATAATTTTATTTTCGTGTAATAACATACAATGGAATACATTTGAAACTCGTCCCCATTCAAAATTTCTCAAAACTCTTAGCACCAGGCAGTATATGAAAAAGAAGAATTATGTTAACATTATAAATTTGTTGTTTTTCTTTTCTTTTCTTTTTTTTTTCTTTTCATTTTTTGGTACTTTGTGTTTTGAATTCCAAAGTACAATAATAGAGAGACCATTTAATTGGGAGTTGAATTAGGTCAGGAGGGAAATTAAAAACAAAACAATTAGTTCACATGGTGATTGGATTTGATTTTGATCTATATTGGTAGCCTTTTGGACCTTCACAAAAAGGCTACCACCCCTTAATTTGGAGGGCCTCCCCTCCCCCACTTCTTTTTTTTTCTTCTTATTTTGTTTCTCTCTCATCCTCTTTTTCTCTCTCTACCCTAAATAATACCATGGTTCTAAATATCGGTCGACACGTCGACATTTCCATCGACATATCTATATCCATCGACATCATCGATATGAGGGGTGAATCGACATTTTCATCATAGTACAAAAAAATCGACAAAATATGAAAAATATCAACAAAATGTCACTAATATATATATAATATTAATATTAATTATTTTTAACTAATTTAGAAATGAAAAAATGTTTATTTGTTCATTTAAATATTTTTTAATTTTTCTAACTTTTACAGAAATATTCATCGATATCAACATTTTATCGTCATTTTCATCGACATTGATATTTAAAAGCTTGAATAATACTATGTAATATCCTACACCATGTCCTTTCCATGCCAATAATATTTTTCCCTCCCTCTTCTCTTACCAGAAACTCGAAACAATAGGTTATAAACTTTCTCGGGTTATTCTATGTTTCATCTTATAAAATACCGATTCAATTTTTAAACTTTATAACGTTTATTTAGTCGGTGAACTTTAATTTATTGTGTTATTTTATAAATGAGTGAAAAGATATAACATCTAACTCTACAGATGTAAGTAATGTTTTGACCTTATTTAGATCCTGTCCCTTTACTTTTCATGAAACTCGATGACCATTAAGCCAATTCAGAAAGTTAATTTGAAGTACGTGTAAAAATGCCATAAATCATTGGGAAATTGGATTTTGGACCTTAAAGCTGACGAGAGAAAGAGAGAGAACTTCCCATGACATAAAATTGCTGCTCCAAAATTCAATCCAAACAAGGAAAAGAATGGGAAATAAGAGTATGGACATACTTTAGTAACCTGTCAAAACATAATGGATACTTCCAGTTTGCAGAAAGCCTCATTTCTTTTACCTTTTTGTTTTACCTTCGCTAGATTGCCCGGAGGCCCCTGAAAAAGTTACTGCACTATGACTACGTCCCAAATTCTGAGTCGACCGGTCGGTCGATCTACTAGGTTCATGTGCGTGTTTTCTTTTCGATGAATCCTTTTTCAAATGATCTTTGGACTCGGAAGGTTCCGGTTCCCGTTTTCGACTTGAAGGCTTTGATGGTTCCTCATATTCAGACACTGAACTCCTTGGTTTACTAGAGCTTGTTCTTCTACTGCTCGAGTGTGGAGTTCGGGATGTAGTTTGACGAGAAGATGTGGTCAACGAAATTCCAGAAGATTTCTGAAACGCTGATTTCATAGCTGTGGCCTGTTCGAGTTCTTCAGGTTCTGGATAATGCACGAGAGATATCCGCCGGGAAATCTTTCCAACTTCAAGGATATAAGAACAGAATCACAAAATGGAAACAATTTTATCAAATAAAGCATGGTAAAGCTACTCATACAATAAGGACCATGCCACTAGAATATTATGATGTGATGTGAACAAACATCAAGAGACAATTGGACTTGAATTGAGATGAACAACATTGTTCGTTCTCGTTCCGAAACATTTAGGCATGCAGAAAGTTTTTTTATTTATGAAAAACCAAGCTTTTCATTGACACAAATGAAAAAAGAAAGCTTAGAAAAGGGCATAAAAAAAAGCTCTATTAGAGGCACACCTAAAGAAAGGGGCTCCAACCAACAAGGAACACCTAACTCATAGTTACAAGAGAATTCATAAAATGACCACGCAAGGAAGTATTAAATCTAATAAGCTCCAAAAGATACTCTTTGGATCTCTCCACCCTTAAAGATTCCATTATTTTTCTTGATCTATATCTCCCACAAAATCGGACAGAAACAAGCCTACCAAAAAAACATCTTTCCTTATCCCGAAAATGAGGGAACAACAAAACCTCCTCCATTGGAGCCTAGCAGAAAGTTGAATCTAATGTTTGAGTATCGCAGCTGACAAATAAAATTTTAAGACAGAACCAGCAACGACAGATGCTGATGACATAAGGAGATTAAAAGTTCGTCAACTATACGGTCATGTGAAAACATACAGAATTAGATTTAGCTCGGGACAAAGGAGAAGCTAGAAATCTAGACGCTACTGTTATTAGTGTTAAAAGTGAAACTACAATGCCCTAAATCCTAATATAAAATATAGGGACTCTCAAACTGTAGCACGAATGGAGTTTACAACTGAAAAAGCGCAAGTACCACCAAGTATAACAAGAAAAAGGGCAGAGAGAATGTAGCTGCAATGGAGAGACTGATACTACTGGCATGTGAAGTAAAAGTGAAACAAAATCAGAATATAGATAAATTTGTTAGAATAGAAATAGGAGGCATTTACCTAACTTGGTGTCTGATGAAGATGGTAGAAAAACAGAAGCCTCGGGTTCTTGAGCCACACAGCTGACCACATCATACGATTTTCCTTTTGACGGTAACAAATAATACATTGAAAATATTGTAAGAAAAGGAACAGAATAGCTAAAGAAAATAATGTCGAGATCAGATTGTTGGCGTACAATAGCACCAAAAAAAATTATAATTACCAGATGAACCCTGAAAGCTGCCCAAATGTCCATCATGATGAAGTTGGAGAGAAAACTCTTGCCCATCAAAATCAGGGGGCTACAATAAAGAAAAAAATAAATCCTTTCCAAATTAAACACATGCAATGGCTGTACTGTAACAAACTACAATCTTGAAAGAAGGTACATTTTATGGGCTATTCTTTATTATATTTTCTCCCAAATTGCAGGTAGCTATTATGTTTTCAAGGATTAGTTTGTAGGATCTTACTTGATTAGCAGGCCATTGAATAAGCCAAAGCTCAGTGGAGTCAGACAAAGAGATATCAGCGAGCAATTCCCTATCGTCTTCCTCAAACTCTGGTGCGGGTTTGTATTCTTCTGCCCTTTTAAAAGCACCAAATTCGTTGCTCATACTGACAGCTAACTAAGTCCCTACGCTAGCAAATAGCAAAGCAACACTTCAATATCCAATAAGGGAATGAAAGACGATTGCAAAAGAATGAAACCAATCGATAACTCCATTTGGGCATTTCGTCGAACAATTCACGCGCACTGCTACTTCATTCAAATATCTCTTTTTAATGCTCGTGCGTTCCGGTGAGAGCAAAAAGAGAGACAAAAGAAAAAAAAAAGTAACTCCTGTAGCACAAGCTTAGTTCCCATATGAATAACAGCAAACTAACGTAATTCTTTCACTTTGGTTTAAATTCAGCTGAAAAATATAGATGGGTAACAAAATACCCAACGAGGTAGTCCAGAGAAAGCCGAATGAGGGGAAAAAGGGAAGAAAAACTTTACCTTTGGCCAGTGGAAACCGAAAACAGAAGACCAGTTTGAACGGAGAGTGATGAACTATTGCTAAGAAGAAACAGAACGAGAGTTGAGAGACTCGCGACTAGGTTTTGTTGTGAGAGGAGAACAACTTGGGCCCTCTGCGGGTCCGGGGTCGGGTATTCGGGTATACTCCTTAAATATGGGTAAATCCGAGATATTTTTTTTTTCTTAAATATGTTTAATTCAGCTGCAGAATTAAACATATCAAAGATATTATTATTTTTTTTCCTCCGAAAAAAAGATATTATTTTTTTTGGCACGTGTATGGTAAAATGTAGAAGGAAAAAAAATACGTTAAAATATTTTTTTAATTGCATTTGTATGATCTCTTCCTTGTATTTTAGCTCTTAAAATTTGCTGTCTAAATAATATTTCCATCCTCCTACTTTTAGTTTTAGTTCAAGTTAGTATTTGTATTTTTAAAAATCTATTTTAATCTTTGTATTTTAAATTTTTGTTCATTTTAATGACTGTATTTTTATAATGTTCATTGACGCTCGTATTTTTAATGAATTATTATATTGGTTAATTCATTTTCATTTTCATCTTATTTTTTAACTCACAATTTTAGTATCAAATTTCTTAAAATATATTCATAAATTTGTATTATGAAATTTCTATTGTGTATAAATTTTTACAAATAGAGATCAAATTGTTCGAAAAAAAATAGACATTTTAGAAGTATAATAATTAAAATGAACAAAAATTGAAAAGTAAATAATCAAAATGAACAAAATTAAAAAATAAAGAGACGAAAATAGTAGCTAAACATAAAATTTTATATCAACAAAATGGAAGTTACGTCAACAACACGATATACATAGGTGTTTTTCAAATATAGCATAAAGTTTAAAATGTTACAAAAACAACCCAATTCAATAAATGAAATGTAATGTAAATATATTAAAAATAACCAATGTTATACTGCATATATATATAAATACATATTTTGTCTTATATTATTTCATATGTCAATTATCGTCAACTTAGGTTCGTTTTCGCTATCTACTCAGGAGTGTTTTATATATTGAATTAGGTCGAAATTAATATATCTTTAACTAAAATGTAAATGTATAAACCTCTTAATAGTAATTAACGATTAATATCGGAGGATTAGTCAATTATCATTGAGTTGTTGTTTAATTGTATTTAAAGAAAAGAATGATAAAAGCCTATTTAGGGATAAAGTTTGATTTGATTTTGATTTTTTTTTGTTAAATTGTAATATTAACTGTTACGTGACACGAACAGTTTTAGGGCGGCGACTTCCATCCGCCGCTCGAATGTGACAATTCCAGAACCGAGAACCGACTGAAGATTATACTCCAAACACTCCCACGATTCTCCTTTTTCATTTTCACTTTCACAGCAAAACTCCGTGAGCAGAACAATGGAGGAATTTGCAGTGGATGATCCCACTCAACTGCTCGAAGCAGCTGCGGACTTCGCAAGCTACCCCGGTTAACTCCATGATATAGAAATTCAACTTCAATTTATATATATTATACTCAAAAAATGCATCAGAATCTGATTCTATTAAGCATTTCCCCTTCGCACAGGTGTTCGGACTGATGCCTCGGTGAAGGAATTTCTCGACCGTTTTCCTCTCCCCGTCATCATCAAGTACGAAAATCTTAGCATATCTTGTTTGATCGACTGTTTTTGAGCTGTTGTGTTATGTTTACTGTCATTGCTATGTTTTTCTGTATTGTCTGTGACTTGGGTTGGTGTTCACTTCTGCAAGTGCTTTACAAACAAAAGCAGAAACTCCTGGTCTGGAAAACACGTTGGTTGCTTGTCTCGACAGGATATTCAAAACCAAATATGGTGCTTCCTTTATCCCACATTTTATGGTATTGGACACTTTCCTTGTACTATTACTCATGTTTGGGACGTGCTCAATTTTCTGATACTATAGAGGGTGCCGTGGCGGCGGATTTTTGGATGTTTATTTTTATTTTTTAAATATTAATCATGTGTTAATGGGTCAGTTGGATTGAGTATAAATTCAGTGGAGATCACTCTACTTGGGTTCAAGTGCAATACCGTTTCATTATTCTTCTTCTTTTATCTTGTACTTTTGACTACATGAGGCTAGTCCATACTGTCAATTGTGTTCTATCCATGGCCAGTCGTATTAGGATCCTTTGACGGCCTTATGGTAGTTGTATTAATTGTTTATATTTCCCTCTTCCTCGCCTGCTTGCAGCCTTTTATACAGGTTGGACTGCGAGCAGATTCTCAAACAGTTAGAGATCTAGCTTGTAAAACGGTAGGTATTCGTATGCCATTATTTAGTGCAACTAGTTATCCTTGTTTCTCGTCAATTAATTTTCCCTTTCTTTCTGAACTTCATTTGTTTGTTATCACTGTGCAAGTTATAATCATTTGTATTCCTAATCTAAGAGTTGAATATTTTCTTCAGGTCACTTTCCTTTTAGAGGAGTCTGATAATGATGCGGTTTTGGCCATACAACTAATTATTGACTATGGAATTTATCCACTTTTGCTCGAGTGCCTTCTGAATGGGTAAGAACACATGCTGGTGATTGTGTATTAAGTTTATAAATGTTATTGAGCTTTGGATGGTATTGGGATCGTGTTATGTATGTGCATGTTTTTAATTAAGTACTTATTGTTCATATAGTTTTTTCTACTTAAACCTTTTCTACAAATGTATTGAGACTATAAATAGAATAGCTGTCTTGAATCATTAAAGAATTATTGTATTATGCAAACAATATTCTCTTCTCTCATTCCTGTACCTTACACACGTTTTTTTCTTAATTTCTACAGAACTATTATATAATTGAGTTATATGATTGACAACCCTAGGGATTTGATGTCAACCCCCTTTCCCTCGTCTTCTTTGTGTTAAGCAGCATTTAGCTGATAAAACCATAAAACTCCTAAGCAATATATATCTAATTAGAGCCATGAATAATGGAGCAAATGATGTTGTTCTCTGCATGCTCCATATTGAGTTTATTAATTTCAAAATAAAGGAAGAACAACTTTCAGCTCTTCGTAGATTCAAGATATGAGTCTATATATTTAATCTGTTTTTAGCTTGGAGTGGGGGTACACCTGAGGTTGTCATTATTTTTTGTAGTAATGAACAAGTTGCTAACTCATCAATGGATGCAATAAAGAAATTGGCTGCATTTCCAAAGGGAATGGTACGTATACTATACAAATAGCTGTTAATTATCTGCTCTTTCTGGTTTTAAATTGTCCTACATGTTGTTACAATAGATATTTTGTGCCAGAACTGACTGCAATTTATTGCTCTGTAGGAAGTTATCTTCCCAACAAATGAAACGGAAGCAACTCACCTAGGAACTCTAGCTTCAACATGTTCATCTCTGGTATTGTAGTGGGCACTATGACTTTGAGATGTATACATTTATTGGGTAGCATTTAAACTTGGTGAATATCATTTTTTGCGAAATTTGTTTCAATCATGTTTTCTTTTGCTAGAGATTATGTTTATTCATTCTCTTTTTAGCTCCATTACTTAGAAGAATCTCCCACTTGCAGTTTAGTTGCTAGTGATTTGTGCTTCTGTTTCTTATTGAAGTTAAAAATTTGCAGGGAAGAGTTCGAGTTATGGCACTGGTAGTGAAACTATTTTCTGTTTCTAGATCTGTGGCATCAGCAATATACAATTCAAATTTACTAAATCTACTGGAAAGTGAAATCAACAACTCAAATGACACACTTGTAACTTTAAGCGTGTTGGAACTCTTGTACGAGGTTACTCTCTCTTACACCTCAACTTCTTGTTCACGAACATGTCTGTTGCCCCATCTCTTCTTCGTGTTGGTCTTGGTAGCATAATGGGAAACATACAAAAAAAATGGTGTTATAGATTGTGTTATCCCTTTAGGTTTTTTTAATGTTAGTATACTGGTACAAGCTGAGTTACTGCAATCTCAGTGACAGGATTCTTAGCATGAATCTGAGACAGACACGATTTTGATTGTCATGGCTAAAATGAACTGCCTGTCTGACTTCCTGGAATAAGTTAAGCAGTAAGATGGTAGTGGATTAGTGGTTTGATAATGCAAGAAAAACCATTATGGTTGATCATTGTAGATTACGTCAATGAAGGTGCATGGAAAATTTGAAGTATAACCACATGACACAGCACATTTTCAATCTCAAGATTGGGTTTATAGAACTATGTCCAGGATTTTACTTTATGACTCTAATATGCATGAAAGGGCGCATCATCATGAGTTATTCTTTGCTTCTTTTGTTCTTCACTTGTTATATCATACCATCTTTAAACCTCTCATTCTGATATATTGGTTTTTCATTTTTATGCAATTTGTAACATATTTTTGTTATATCTCCAATTGATGAAGTTAGTGGAGATTGAACATGGTACAAAGTTCTTGCCAAGGACCAGCATTCTCCAACTACTAAGTTCTATAATCAGGTTTTCATTGAAAGAATTATAAATTTCAGTTATACAAGCAAATGGTCCGACTCTGTACGGTGATGGTGTTCATAATTTTTTGTTGTTTATTGCAGCAACTCATCAACGGAGTCTATCTTAAGGTCAAGAGCAATGGTCATCAGTGGAAGACTTCTATCAAAAGAGAATATGTACTTGCTTGTAGATGAATCTTGTAAGAAATAAGTTGACTTTCTGAACATTTTATTGACCTGTAACGCTGCATCATCATCTGATTTGAAGTTCTTTAAGAATTAGATAAGGCACGAATAAGAATAAATTTGCCAAATGTCTCACATGGCAAACCTTTTTTCATTGAGCATTTTTGGGACACCCATATTCCATAGGACCTATCGACTGTCGTTACTCTTTTAAGCGCCATTGGTGTAACTATATGTGTAGATCATGAAGTTCATGTTCTATAAGTGACCTATATGGAAGGAATTACACGCCTTCTATCATAATTTCAATTGAGGTTTTGCACAAATATCATTCAGATGAAAGCTACAAAATTTGTGCAAGGTTGGGTGAAAACTTGCATAAACAATGTCCAAAGCCAGGTTATGAGTTGGATCATTTCATTTCACTTCACAAGTAAAAGTTTTCAAGACTTAGTGCCTTCCACTGTTGATTTTCATGCCTTAAAAAAAAAATGAAAATTACTTGAGATATTAGCACCTCTTATTGATTTTGTTAAAGCAGTTGACAATAATCCATAATCATAACATACTGGTGACCCTATTGCCTAATTTATAGTATTCTGGATGACAAAATTCTTTGACGGTGTTTTGCTTTTTATATTCTCAGGCGTAAGGATTCTAATATCTGCTATAGATGAAGCTCTTGGGTCATCAGAAGGTCAAGATGTAAATGTATGTGAATCTGCATTTGAAGCACTGGGTCAAATAGGGTCAAGTAAGTGTAGCCACTGCCACTTGTAGTCTAAGATATGTCTATTTAATATGAGCAACTCTGATTGTGATTTATATTACCATATCTTCTTTTAGAGAGAGAGAGAGTGCAACTGGAGTTGCAATTTTATGTACTTGCAAATGCATGAAGACTAGTGTATATCCAGGAAAATAAACCTTGAACTCTTTAAAACATGTTAAGTGTTATCTTGTTTTTGTTTATTTATTTATTTTTTTTAACACAAAATTATGAACTTGAAAACTAGTATATGGCCACAAATACAAGTATTGGATGCAAACCATTGGCATTCTTTTAATGAAGAATATCTTCTATGATCAGATTTTAACTGTCATATAGAGAACTTACAGTAACCATTGAGGTGTCTACTTTGCAGTAGGCGCTCGTAATAGATATAATTTAGGAACTTTTCTTTGAGGTCCTAACATGTATGGAGGTTTCCATTTGGTTATGTGGAATATTGGTACCTGACCCGAGGAGTTTGTATATATGGGAATGGGGAACTTGTGGAAAAGGGATTGCATCTCTCCTTGTGAAATGATTGTTCCATTGGAACACGAGGCACATAAGGTACAATGTCATAACAACGGAGTACATACTTTTTTCTGGGGTTCAGTCTTCTGCTATGTCTGGCGTGAGGAAATGCTAGTTTCAAAATTCCTTGGAAATTTACTTTTTTGGTTAGAGGGATTTGCCGCTTGAGAATATTTATTTTGTGGTGGGAAATGGGGCAAATCTGAGCTGCTGGAAGGAGCCCTGGTGTGGCAGTGGACTTAATCCTGATACTTCTATTGCTGATTGCTGGATAGCAATCTGAATTTATGGAACGTCAACCAAAGGAACATGAATGTGGAAGAGGCCATTGAGTGGGGTCTTCTGATGTATAAGTTGGAAAGGTGTCACTAACCTGAAAGAATGCCAAAAGCTGGAAGGGTGATTCTTCAGGCTCTTTTTCTTCCTTTGTGGATTTTTTTTCCTCAGATTTCTGCACAGTAATTTGGAATAAAAATTATCCTAAGAAGATAGAAGTCTTCCTTTAAAGTCTTATGCTGAGAGGGTTCAATACTCATGCCAAAACTCAAGGTAGAAATCTAACCTCCTTTCCCCTAATTGGTGCAGCCTGTATGATAGGACACAGGATTGTGGACCATTTGTTCTTTTGGTGCCCTTCGAATCAAGCACCTGATTATTTTTTGCCTGAACTTAGGTTTTCCTTGGAGGATCGACATCTTTCTTTCTTTATTTTTGTGTGGCGATCTCCTAAATAAGAAGGCTAAAATCCTTTGGACTGGATCAACTGTGTTGGTAGTGTGGGGAATAGAATAACCTTCCAAGAAATGGAAAGAGATTTGAATTATTGTAGGATCTTTCTGTTTTTGTTACCTCTACATCGAGTAATATGGGCAGGTTTTCCTTTATTTATTTATCTATTATTGGTATTTCTAACTATGTTCTTTCTTTAATTTGAGCCAATTGGAGGAATTTTTTCTATTCCTCTTGGCTATGGTTTTGTCATGAATTAATTCCATTAAAATCATTTGTTTCTTAAGAAAATGTATGAGCTTATAATTAGGTTTACTTTTGGAACTGCGTAATCTCAATCTGAACAAGATGTTGCATGTGGACCTCAACCTTTATATGGAGAATACTCGTAGCTTTTTATTGTTTCTGGTCTTTACCATTTTATGGATGATGGAAAGATACTTTAGATGTAAACTGGAACAGTTAAATTTTAAAAAATACTTATAATGGTGTTTTTTTTTTTTGTTAATGTGAGATGTGGCACAAGTGCAAATATGAATTATCCTTGAACAAAATACACTTGATCACTGTTTGATTTGTACTAACCTCCCGAAACATTCTAAGCGACCTATTGGTTTGTGAAACTAAGGTGTTTTGCATCATCATGAAACTTTATTTAGATCTTTATAAGCATGTAATCCCCCAAAGCCAACATGTAAAGATCCAATTTCTGTTTCTCTCAGCTAATCGGGGAGCTACTTTACTGCTGTCAAGTTTCTCAACTTGTGTGAAGCTTTTAATTCATGCAGCATTTGATCGGCATGAACATGGTAAACAGCTGGTAAGTAGTTTTTAACTCTTTGGTTTATGTTTTTTTTGCTTTCTCCTCACCTCCTTTTCTCATTGATTAAACCACTAGGTATGGTAAGTATATGGTGAAAAGCTAGGTGTTTCAGCTAGCATTGTAAACGATTGAATTTGGATAAGTCATAAGCCCTTGAAACTAAATGTTGCTAGGATGAGAAAGTTCTATGGTGAAGTTCTTGCAAGGAATATAAATTGGGAGAGTAGAGTGAGATAACATTTTCAATAATGATAAAAATAGAATAGTGATATTTTTCCTATAATGCTATGATATTGACAGCAAATATGAAATTCAGAATAATTTTTTGGATTGTGAGGTTGTAAATTTTGGTATTCACTTTTTCTCTTGTTAATTTACTTCTAAAAAACATTCATTATTTTATCCCCGAAGGGGGTGGCCACGTTGGCAAGAACTTGGGGTCTTTTGGTCACNGGGCGAAGAGAGGATATCTCGATCGGGGGAGAGAACGGGGAAATACCATATGACCCAATATATCTGACAAGTCGCACTATACGTCAACCCACGATGCATCTTCCTCTCCAGGATTTCGAAAAGGTACTTTTGGAACACCAATAGGCATTAAAGCAAAGAAAAAATAATTAAGTACTATAGCTCACTTTGATGTGGAAGCGTAACAACAGGTTTATTGTCTTAATAAATAAGATGGGCCTTTATCAGATTTTATCTTTTAGCATATTTTATACATAGACATATATTGAATAAGTTCATAAAAAAGGAAGACAAAATGAATGAATAAAGGAAAATTCTTGCGAATAAGTCTTTTGAATGATGAACAAATATGTATACATTCATTATTATAAAATAAGATCAATTCCCATCCACCATTGCGTATTGGTACTTATCGAGTATAGAATAGATCTDCTTCTTTTTGTTCCTACGAATAGAATAGAATTGTTCCATTATTACTAAAAGAATAGACCAAATATTAATCCTTTCRCCAAGATAATCCCCTCAAAAGGGGCTCTAGTGCGTTGTAGATTCTTATCCAAGACTTGTATCATTTGATGATGTCGTAGGGGGGCGGCTTGATTGTGATACGGTCCAACCAATTGGGAGAGAATCAATCGATTCCTTTTCGGGAGCGATTCATCCTTCCCGAACGCCGAATGGGATAAGATAATTCGTACTATTATTTAGTATTTTCTTTTATTTAATTGAAGAAATAATTGGAAAATAAAACAGGGAGCGGTTATCAAAAAATAAAAGAAGTATTCATCCTTTTATATTTTCTGTAAAGCTTTCTCTTGGCATGGAAGGGGATATTGTTTTAAAAAGATGTTTGTGATTGTGAACTGGAATCTGCCATTGCCAACTATATATTAATGCTAGGTGAGAACCTACTAATATATGCATGTGGGTATTAAATTTTTGTCCGACATGTCGACATTTCCATCAACATTTTCATGTGTCCATGAATTCGACATCGATATTAGGGGTAAATCAATCTTTCATAATATTGTAAAAAATAATCAACAAGATATGAAAACTATTGCTAATATAGACATAATATTAATATTAATCATCTTTTTAACTTATTTAGAAATTGTGAAAGGTTTATTTGTTAACAATTTAAATTTTTTAATGATTTTTTTATTTTTATAACTTTATAAAAAATATTCATCGACATCGACATTTTATTAATATTTTCATCGACATTTTCTATCAACATTGACATTTGAAACTTTGGGTACCTACTATATCTTGCTTATATTTTCAACTCAATACAGGCAGCCATGCATGCTCTTGGCAATATCTGTGGAGAAACCCGATCTGAGAATGATATTATGCTGAATGATATGGCAGAAGAAAATTTGCGGGACTTGATGTATCAAATTGCATCCAGAAGTTCAAAAATTATGCCATCAGTAAGTTAAGGATTTAGGGTTCATTTCTTTTGATAATGTTTTCCTGCTTTGGTATGCTTTATGTCTGAAGTAATTTGGAACTTGATATCTACTCTGCTTTAGTTGCAGAATACACATCACTCCATTTCAAACGAATCCTTCTGCACTTGCTGAGATTGAACATTCCTATGTTTCATTCCATGTTAGCGTTTAAAATGCTTAAGCTGTTAGTAATGGAGTCAGGTCCATACAGGTCAACAGGCTTCCAAATGTAACAGATTTATGAAACAAGAATTGTTGTTGGCTAATCACTAATGCACGTGAATTTAATTTGATTGCCAAGATGTATGGTGTTGGTGCTCCATAAATTATTTGGTTACCACTATCGTAAAGGTCTGTACTAGGAAGGAACTTTAGATGTATATCTTTTTTTTTTTTCTCTCTTTGAATAGGAAACCAAGACTTTAGATGACAGCAGTCATCAAGCATCAATTTTTTTAGTGTTCTGTTAGAGCGTCTGCAGGGAATCATTTTTTTCTCAATCAAGAATGCTTCAACCTGATTGTCCCATTTTCCTTATTTTAGCTTTAGCAAGCAGCAACTTTGACATTGTTTTTCATTTCTTTCGTGATTATAGTTTGTAAAAGTTTTAACGAGTTGCTATGGCAGGGCCTTTTTCTAGCTGTCCTTCAGCAGGACTCTGAGATTCGATTGGCGGTGAGTATTTGAGTCTTTTTTGTTGCCTTCGGGAATCCCTAATCTATTTGTTAATTGGCTTTCAAGGAGCTTGCTCTTAGTTTCTTAGAAAATTTTCCCTAAAAAGAAAATATGTAATGTCTGACAAGCCAATACTTTTTTTTTTTTTGATATCCATGAGTGTTCGGGCCAGCTTACGCGCACCTCAACTAATCTCACGGGACAACCGCTTGACCCTACAATATTTGGTGCCATAAAACACATAGGAATTACTAATTCCTAAGGTAGGTAGCCATCATGAGATTCTGACAAGCCAATACTTCAAGATGACATAAATTAAACGACCCTTGGATTTAAGAGTACATAAATTTAAAATTCATTTAGGTTATGTGCCTAAGCTTTTGTTACCTAATATCATTGGATTAGAAAATAGTCTTCGGTTTCAAACAGGGTGTGTCAAAAATGCTGCAAGGTGCAAGGTATTTTAATATCAAAAGAAAAAAGACCGTTCATGCTATGGACTGACGTGATTTATTATTTTCTTTTTTATTCTTGTGCGGAAGGAGTACTTTGCAATCCCCGTGTATGGACAATTAATATAGGACCATTTTTCAAAAAAAAAAAAAAAAGGTGAACGTAAGTGCTAAAAAAAGAGATGTGCACACATAGATGGGTGTATGTATGAAGATTTAGATATAGATATGTGGTGCTACACATTATCTCGTGCAAGATAGAGATGGCAAAAAATTCTGATGCTTAGAGAATAAATACCCCATTTAGACACACCCTAGATTCACATCTCGAGGGTTATATCTTAGTTCAGACAATATTCTTATCCTAGACTGAAACTATGTTGGTCCTAGCTCTCTATGCATCAAAGGTATCTAGCTTCCTATGTATTTAAATTTATGAGACATTGATATAAAATTTTTCTTCAGAGTTATAGAATGATAACTGGGTTGGTGGCTCGACCTTGGTGCCTTATGGAAATCTGCTCGAAACAAGAAATAATAAATATAGTGACTGATGCAAGTACTGAGACTACGAAAATAGGTATACACGTTTCCCTGTTGTGCATCCTTGTCCTAAGGTTGATAAGATATTCTGTGCATGATTGTTGTATTTGTATATGCATTAATAGAAATACTACTGCTGCGATGCAAGCATAGATCTTACTATTCTGACTATCTATCAATAGCAGTAATAATGCAAGCATACTCCTGCTCTTTCAGTGTTGCAATTTAGAGAGTATCTATTTCTTCAGCCATGATTTGATAGCCGTTGCTGTATGTAAATCTGCATTATTCGTTCAGTTGAATAGAATATCATTTTTGCCAACTCTTTTAAATGCATGCTACTGCTTCAAAAGAAATGTTGTAAGCATGTACAAAATAGGGTTAGTGTTGGCCTATACTCATGTTCGACATCCTTTCTTCAAAATTAATTTCAAAATTTTGCAAATCAACTTTACCCAGCTGTAATAACAGCTGTGCTGAACATATTGCCTTCTCCATCCTGTGAAAGCAACTTAAGAACTCCGCGTGATTTCAAACATGCAGTTGGTAATTACAATGCTCTTGTGATCAAGTCCTTTTTTTGGCTCTTGATTGATCGAAGACATTTATATAAATCATTTGCATTTATTTATGAATCATATCTTAATTCCTCACTGAAATTATTACAAAACGTTGCTGTGTATTACTACAGTCTGGTCTCATTTGTTTGGGTTAGATTTTTGTAGCGTGCAGCTACTTTCTGCGGTGCTCTTAAGGAGCGTCTTCCAGAAAGCATTTCACTCATAGATACATTTGAAAAAAATAAAAAATTGAATTCACTCCGCTTTTCTAAGATTCAACTTCTCATATGGGTTGACATGTAATCATGTAGATTCGGGCAATTTTTCCCTTATATCAGATGCTAATCCCAATCACATGGTTCTTTTTTCTTTTTGCAGGAATGGAAGCTAGATATAATTGTTGTATGGCTATCCACAAGGCCTTCATGTCTTCAACTAGGCTTACTGGCGATCCTGCCCTTGCAGGAATAGCTTCGAAGGTTAGATGTTGATCCAAATGAATTCATGTGCCCAAATATTTCATCCTTTTCTTGAACCTTTTCCTTTTCCAGGCAATTTATTCTATAGTAGTACCCATAGAAGTGCTGGGCTCCTGTCATGGGGGTCATATCTGATTGTTTTTTGAGAAGGAAATGTCTTTTTGATATAATATTTGCATACCTTTGTAATAATACCTTAAAATAGGGGGAGGGGGAGATAACTTATAGACCGGAAAACCAAAAAAGGGACAGAAAGATATCGTAACGGTGAAGAAATGCAACAAAAAAATCGCCTCCCCTCCTGTCAGAATTTGCTCTCTTGAAAAATTTCCCCACGTATAGGAGCCTTGTCTTGCTTAGTTACATACCCACTTACTACTACTACACATCCCTTTCTTGTCGTTACTCAATATCTGAAATGATGTTTTTGTCCATGTCTTCTAATTTGGTAGAAAAGCAGTGTGACATTCTTCTGTTTGAGTTCGTAAATTCAAACTTCGGGGCGGATATATACTCCGGCTAATGCTTAAACTGAATTGTCTGCAGTTGCAGGAAGCTGTTAGAAATGGTCCATATCTTACTAGGAGGAATTTTGAAACTCAACCAGCAGTTATGACAGCTGAGAGATTTTAAGAGCAGAGTAGGGTTCAAATGTAAGCAACCCTTTTATACAGTGGTTTGTAGGCAGACTCATCTTTGGTTTCAAGTTGATAGGTTAAAGAAGTCTTTTAAGATCCAAGGAGTTATGTGAAAATCATCTCTTGAATTGTGAGTTCACAGAAGTTGAAAAATGGAAAATGTTCTCCAAGGATTGTGTATAATGGTACTACTCTACTCTGTGGATAAAGACGAGTGAAATGGATGTCTAATGTTTACGAGTCCACTTTTCGTTTTGTTATCTACATTTTCTAAAATTGAAACCAATTTTTAAAGGAAAAAACTTCCCACCTTAAAGGTGAGGAGTATTGTATTGGCCCGATAAAAACCAGACAAGTGTTGGTTGTTGCTTTTTAAAATTATTTTATTAAATCTCCTAATCTCATCAAAATCTCTCCAAATCTTTTTTAATTCTTTTTTAGATTGGTTGGACTACTTTTCTCCCTTTTTTTCTCTCTCTGTATAACTTCTCACTCCCTTCTTTTTCTCTCATCTTCAATTTTCTTCTCAATTTGAAGAGTACTGTAACCTCATTTTTTCTATTGAAAAGTTGCGTAAATTGTATAATATTTCTCTTCCATTGTGTCATTTTTGCAGATGAATGTAATTTGAAGAAGTTTTAGGATATTTGATTAACGTTGTTACATCATTTTTCTCCCTTAACCCCAATCAATCTAAAAAAAGAATTCAAAGAGATAAAGAATTCAAAAAGATTTGGGGAGAGATTTTGATAGATTATGGAATTTAATAAAATAATTTAAAGAAACAACAACCAATTATTGTCTTGTTTTTATAGGGTCACGTGAGAGTAAGGAGTACAATACTCATCCGAGCGAAAGTAAAACTTGTTTTTGTTTTCAAATTGGGTATTTTTGCTAGAATGGTTCATAACATATTAAAGTATGCAATCAAAAATCAAATTTGTTATTAAAATATTGATTACAAAGAAATTATTTCACACATTACAAAGAAATTGTTTCACAGTCCTCAAGCTTACGAGATATAATAGAGGAAGGGTAATTGTAATAATTTTATGTTATGAAGTAAAACAAAACAAAACTCGAGAGATTATTATTCAATCCTAGTTTTCACATTTTTCATTTTAGCTTTTTACTATTAAATCATATTTCCAAAAAAAAAACAATAATAATAATTTCTTGAAGATTCTAAAATATTTTTAAAATTTCAGTTAAATTACGTAAAAGGATTAACAATAGATTAAATTTGTGGGTTTTGACTCAGAGATCGTAAGTTTATCTTATCTCCACGTATTTTATTAATAAAAAAGATAAAAGCTCAAAATTTAAAGATCATCCGAATAACATCCTATCGGGATTAAATTAAAGCGGAACCCGGATGGGGGTTATATAAAACTCGAATCCAAACAGCCAAAATAACAGAGGATAAAACGATACTCCAAAAAACTCTGCTTCCACTTCCATTCCAGTGGATAGCGCCAGCAAAGGTGCAAGAAGAGAACCACCATTCTTCAACCTCTGCAGCTTTCACAAAAATGGCGGCAGCTGCAATTACTTGCTTCTCTATCTCTTCTAAATTCAGAAATCTTTCTCTCAATGCTTCTTCCTCCTCTTTCCCCGCTTCCTCTTCCTCTTCAACCCTCAAATCTCTCACTTTCTCCTCCAATCTTTCATTCTGTGCCTTTTCCAATGGTAATTACTTATGGGTTTTGTTTTCCATCTTCTTCTAATCTAATTCGTGGTGGTTTCTGAAGACAATATAGAAATTATTTGAGGAAATAAGAAATTTGGGGTTTCTTTTTGTTCGTTTTTTGAGCAGGGTGTCTGTCGATGAGTGAAGCTCAGAGGCCACTTCGATACTCTGTTGTGTGCGAGGCGGCTCCTAAGAAAAAGGTTGATTCTGCTGCAAAGAGGGCTCGCCAGGCTGAGAAAAGGCGTATTTACAACAAAGCCCGGAAGTCTGAAATCAAAACCAGGATGAAGAAGGTACCTAATTTGATGGGTTTATTTGCACTGGAGTTTCGTTTTGGAATCCTGTCTGAATATGATGAAATCTCTCTCGTGAAATTGCAAATGGGTTGATAATGTGGAAAATTAAGTTTGGAGTTCTATGCTTCTTGGCTCTTACTTCAGAATTGATCTTATCTTTGATGGAGTATTTATAGTAGAAAGGCTATTGAAGTGAAACCAAACAGCCCAAGTCCCAACAGCTCCTCCCCTTCCCTAGAAACTTTATCTTTGCCTCTGGGAAATGGTGGAATTCTGTGTGGTTTTCATTTAGGAAATTTTTAAGTACCTTCAACAAACTGGGCTAATCAAGACTCAAGAGGTTAAGTACTTTTGTGTGTTCCTTAAGATAGAACTGACAGAAGTCATTACATTGAGTGTTGGAGACAAATGCCTGAAATGACTGTTCCTGAAAATGGAACGGATGAAATTTGTAAAATTAAGGGGTGCTTACTATTTTGTATTCAATATCAGTGGACTGTTGGCTGTATATTTTGTATGATTTTGTTTGATAAGGCCAATAATAGCTTCTTGGTTTGGATGCTTTGTAATAGGAAAATCTTAGTAGAAGTTCTTATTTATCAGAAATGGTTATCTTAAATGTTTGGATCTTCATTATTCTCTGTCATCAAAGCAAACAAACTAATAAGATTTTAGTTTTGATTTCAAATATATATTTATGGTATGGACTAGCAAACATCCTGACAGAATGATCAAATGCTCTCCTATCTTTCAACACTATAGTTTTGTCTCTCTTTTAACCAATTGGAAAGCTTTGTTGTAGCTCCATTGGTTTGGGATGCTTTCCCCTTTTGTATATCTTACATTTCATTGCATTAATGAAATCGTTTCTTCTCCAAATATATATATATGTGTGTGTGTGTGTGTGTATTATTGTCCAGTGGTAGATTGCTTTGGCACAATCCTTTATGATGGGCTTAGAGGTAGGTTTTTTTGCTGGTAAAGGCCAAATTTCTACTAATCATATATAGATGGTACCCTTGTTTTTTCAGCCTCTAACTCTCACAAAATTTTGAACTTATTCAAGACCATTAAGGTATTTGAATGGGCTGGGGCTGTGAATTTATTTAAATCTTTTGGTGATGGTATAGATCGTCCTTTGGCTCATTAGTTTTCCAAAATGAGAAGGAAAAAGAAAAGTCCTGAATTGGATTCACTTATGCAAATTCAGTCTAGACTCTAGAATATGGCGTAGGCATTTATATCTTACATAAACCATGAAATATTACAATTGCTCTGTCTCGGTATTGATTTATTAACTAGTGAAATGGGTAACATTCTTGCTTTTCTTTATTATCATTTGTTTATTTCTTGGTATCAAGAGAGGCGGAGTAGTAAGAAGGGGATTGAGGGTGATTCCCATTTATATCTAAGAATTCATCCTTTGCTTGTTGGAGCAAAAGAAAAGATTGACTTTTATTATTATGCTTCTCACTAGTATAACTTTCCTTTTTATATTGAATCTCCAAAGAGATGCTGCTGTCGGATGCATCGACTTGGTCTCTTTTCTATAGCTTTTATCTGCTAAAGGATGCAACTACGGCATAACCTTCATTTGCATTGCATAACTTCCATTCTCTGAGTCCTTGCTTTTGCATATTGTGAAGAAAAAGAAAAGATTTTCTGCTTCTTTCCAGAACTGGTTTAATTGTATACTTCTATGCTGATGCGACCTCTCATACAATCCCAGGTTTTGGAAGCTCTAGATGATCTCAAGAAGAAACCTGAAGCACAGTCAGAGGAAGTCCTTTCAATTGAGAAGCTCATTGCAGAGGCATACTCAGTGATCGACAAAGCCGTGAAAGTGGGAACATTGCACAGAAACACTGCTGCACGTCGGAAATCTCGACTTGCCAGAAGAAAGAAAGCCGTAGAAATCCACCATGGCTGGTACGCCCCTGCTTCACCTGCAGCTGCCTGATGTCGACGGGGTTGAGGAATGAATGGGAAGATCATTCTATTCTTTTTTGACGTAGATAATGGCAACTTTTTTCATTTTTCCATCATCTGTTTCTTTTATTTTTGTATTTAGTTCGGACCTTTTATAATTGAAGTTTTAATTCTATTGCATTTGCTCTTTGAAATGACATACTTCTAATTCTTGAAAATACAATAAGCATTGAACTGTATAACTCATTTACAAATAGTTCTCATCTCCAAATTTATAGGTCTGAAATAGATCTTATGACAATTCTAAAACGTCCCATCAGGTTGGAGTTCATTTTGAATCTCTAGAAGAAATTACTCAGAGCTAAATAATACAGAAATTACCCAAAAAAAAAAAGAGGAACAGAGCTGATCCCCTCTAGGTTTACCAAGTTTGTAATCTTGTGAAAGAAGATGGTTTAATTTTCACTCTCCTTTGTTATCTTCCTTTGGCTTTCCTTTCTTGCAGTTTGATTTCATGCCATTCACCAACTTTTCAGTCCTTGGCTCAAGCATCATTCCCTTCAATGTCATCTCTCTGAAATAGCGCAACCCGTCCTCTTTTCGTCCCTTCTCGTACAACCCATGAATCATTATAGTGTAAGAGCGACGGTCCGGTCCCAACCCCATCTGTTCCATTTCATTCCAAGTAGATTTAACCCTTTCCTGAATGTCCCAGTCCATGTACAATCTCAAAACCAGGTTGTATGTGTCAATGGTCATCTTGCAGCCACTTCTTTCCATCCGCTGCAAGAGTACAGTAACTTCCTCCGGTTCTCTCGACGACCCAACTAAATAGCTGAAAGTCACTGAATTCGGCCAACAGCTCTCTTTTCCCTTCTCCATTTCATCCAAAAGCTCATTAACCTTCTCCATCCTCCTAATCTTACACAAGTGTTTTATGAGAGTGTTGTAAGTCGCTACATTTGGAACACAACCTCTCTCATTCATTTCGCTGAAGATCTCCAGAGCTTCAGGAATCCTTTTCTTGAAACAAAGTGCATCAATGATGCAGTTGCAGATCACCACATCTGGTTTCAAACCCCTTCCCCACATGGCTCTAAACAACTTCAGAGCTGTCCCCAACTTTCCCTTCTTTGTCAATGAGTTTATCAAAGTCCCATAAGTGTATATATCAGGCTCGCATTTTGATTCGATTATCTCGCGCCAAAACCGCTTGGCCTCATGAACATTCCCCAGTATACACCAACCATTGAGGACGATGTTCCTCGTCTTTATATCTGGATGAAACTCGTGCTTCTTGGAGTGCAGCAATGTCTCTGCAACTTCTACATGCTTGTATCTGCATAACCACATTAAAAGTGACTGAAACGCAACCAAATTCATCTCCAGCCCGAGTTCTTGCCGTTTGTGGAAGATCCCAATTGCTTCCTCCACTTTATGTGCTGCAGCATATCTATTAAGAAGAACTGAATAAGTTCCCTCGTTTATGAGTTCTTTTCTTTGTGACATTTCTACAAACACTTCGTCTACTTCGTCGAATCGTCGGAATTTTCCAAGAATGTCGAGAATCTCGTTGTAAATAACAGAACCAGGGGAGTATTCATCTTCTCCACCTCCTTTCGAAACCCAATTGAAGAAAATGAAGGCGGGTTTCCAATCCGATCGATGCCTCCCCAGCACATTGAGAACAAAATCATCGGTTAACACAAGCCCGCACAGATTAAGAGCCCTCTCGATCTCCTCCACTGGTTTATCTCTTCTAAATTTGAGGACGTTTTGGACATAAACAGCAGATTGGTCATCTCGAAGAACATCGATCGATTCATCTGAATCAGCAACCGAGTTCGAAACCCTAGTTCTTCCATCCACTTGTGGGTGATGAACTCCATGGTTTCTGGGCCGAGGTCCGAGATTTGGGTCCTCGCGACCACGGAAATGATGAATCTGGTCGGAGACGCCGGAGAAGCGCCGGTGTGAACCGGGAGTGTGAGGAAGAAGATATTTTATCAGGTTTGATCGGAACCCTAATTCGAATATTGGCTGGAAATTTTGCCGCGTAATCTTCCTCCACAATGGGAATTTGAACCTCATCTCGAATCCTTCGATTACAAATCGTTCTGCTTTTGACACTCATTATGATCCATAATCCATTCCTTTAAAAATAGAAGAGTATTTCTCTTTCTACGTTTCTCTCACGAATCTGTCAAAACTTTAGTAGTCAGTCCCTAAGAACTGAAGTTTGACTCATTATATTGGTCTCAAACGTTTGAATGAATTTTGATGGAATAAGTAAAGGAGGAGATTTATGCTAGCTTGGGAATTCAGCTAGTAATCCTCATTGAATTTAGTAAATGTGATAATTTGGTCCTAGTTTCAATTTAATTTTATATTTTTAGTCTTTATTCTCATTTTTTAGCTGAGACGTCCCTCCTAATTTCATATAGCATTAGGCTCTAACAACGTAGATCTTCAAGGGGTGGTTAGGTTTAAAATTTTAAAAAATATCTCTAGGTAATGCATGTCTGAAAAAAGATGTTGGAAATCATAGATAAATTGTGTTCGGTTTCGGCAAGGGAATATTATCAGATTTTCGTGGACATAAATGATGTTTGTGTTTGTTGTTGCATGAAAATGTTACCAAACTTGCATATAAATAAATGATATTTGTATTTAGTTTGAGCGGTTATTTTCAACAATTTTATGCATTTATAGAGTATTAAAATTAATCCAAATTAATATATGTTAAGTAGTTGATCTATTTAGCAATTACATTAAGTAATTTAATATATTTAATAGATTACTAATTAATTAATATTTTCATTAAATACTTAATTACAAAAATGAATTAAGTGTATATTTTGATTAGTCTATTAATTATTATTAATTTATTACAATTTAATGATTACAGACATTATTATCAATTAATTTATTTTTTATTTAATATGATTGAGTATAAAATTCATTTAAACATTATAATTAATTTAAATTAATTAAACTTAATGAAATTCAAAACAAAAAAAAAAGTTAATTATTCACGAATTAAGAACTTCAACCAAAACGGTCTCTAATTAATCATACTAGTTGAAATATATGAATATGAGTGGAACTTTAAAGCATTATTTTTCTTAGTTCGATATTGTAATTGGAAATATTCGAACCTCCTGCATTTGAGTAAAAGGTAGAATATTTTAATTAACCAATTCAACTGTATTTTCATTTGTGTAAATCCTTTTGAAATGCAATTGGAAGTAACTTTTTGTTTTTATTTTCTTTTGACTAAATTAAACTTAAAATTAAATCCTGGACTAAAAAAATAATTTTACTCGAAAGTATCTATAATTATATAACTTTGATGGCGATACTATTCCAATTGAGATCCAAATATGACTTTTGATTTGGTGTTTTTTTTATTCAAATATTTGAGTGAATCCACTTATCCAAACATTAAAAATAGTTAAATTACACGAAATATTCATGAACTTTGGGATAAATTTCAATAATCCGTCTAAACTTTTAAAAGTTTCACTTTTACTATTAAAATAGTAAGACAATGACTTGCAAAATAGTGGTACTTGTGAGATTTTAGGTATACCTATCAATTTTCAAATATGTAATTTGGATTATATCCTTATCATTTAAAAACTTCATTAGCTTCCTCACATAAAATGGAGATGAAGTTATGATTTTATTGGTAAGTAGTAAAAAAGATCAAAGAATCTTAGTCACATTTAAAATGACGTTATACAGTAATTTGACAACAGACAAATAAAATTGGAGATTGGAGTAAAATATTGTTTTCTCTTCCCATGACACAAAATGTGGGGGTGAGAGATCTAATTCACTATTACCGCGTTGAGCTATGCTCGTTTTGGCGTATAAACATTAGATTAATTCTATATTTTATCTGTTCAGAATACGGTAGTAATAAATAATAAAATAAAGTATGAGAGCCAAGTTTCATATGTTCTTTGCGGTCTATTTACCTCCTCAAAAATTTTTGTTTCTCACATTTTTTCATCATGAAAAGATGAAACAATATTTTACTCTAATCTTCAAATTTGTTTCATCATAAATCCATCTTTCATTTTAAGAGCTAATAAAATGGTTGTTTTAAAATAATTTCAACGGTTCATAAGAGTTTTTTTTTTTTTTTAATAAGATGGAGATTTGAACTCACGACTTTTTGATATGAAATAGTTAAAATGAAGTTTTTTAAATAATAAAGGTATAATGAAAATATATACTAAAGTTTAGGGGCATAAGTAAAATTTGAAAACTTGGCTATAGACTCATATGTACCACTATTTAACAAGTCACTGTCATGTCACTTTTCCATCTTCGTCTTGATAGTTGGTAGATACCATGGTTAGTTTTGAAACAAGTTATAAAGTTTATGATTAAAAATAGTACTTAATTTTGAACGTCTAAGAATATTATTGAAACTTACCTTAAAAACTTGCAAGAAAATATTCGTATTGGCGACAAGTGTAGTTGAGGTTGATTATTTATTTGCAATGAAATTACTTTATCATAAAATACCGCATAATTTCCGACAAATTGAATACCATTCACTTATTCTACAGTGTTTTGAAAAAAAAAATATATTCCTTACTTGTATAATAAGTTTTTTCTTGCAAAAAGAAAACAGGTAGAGATAAGAAAATAATTTTGCTCAGCTTCAACTAATTACTTGCAAGCTAATTAAATACATTCTAGATTAATAATTCTTTAAAAAATATTTATAAATCAAAATTTAAAAATCAAAAGTCATCCCAAACCCACTCTAAAAAATATCTATATAATTTTAGTTTAAATTACAAATTTAACTTCTATGTTCGTTGTGTGAATCTTGTTTCTAATGGTTTTAAAAATGTCAATCTAATCTATGTAGCTTGATACTTTCAATTTAGTTCTTAGGATTTAAAAAATTTAAATTTGGTCCATATAGTTTATTCAAACTTTACAAATTGTCCTTACCGTAATTATAATGTCACATTTGTTTACGCGACAATCAGAAGATATTTTCTACTCAACTAACCATGCTTGTTGACAACATTAAAATTTATGGCCAGTAAAAATTTCCAATTGAAAATTTTGAAATTCTAAGAATGAAATTGAGCCTCAAATATCCGTGCCTTCTCCTTCTACGGTGATTTTGAGTTCAGTCATATCTCCAGGAAGGACAACTTTTTAGCTCACAAGCTAACTGTCGATGAGTGACTAGGATCTTATCACCAATGTAGTCCACGTGGCATCTCTCGTTCTTGAATGAAAAGCTTTATTATTTTTCAGAAAAAGAAAGAAGAATGAAATTGAGACAAAGCCTAAAGTATAAAGATTAAAGGTGTAATTTAATTTAAGTAATAATTTTGTATGAATGGTGGTGGAGTTGACGTGGCAGCATCAGAAGGTACAGGGAAGTACAGCCGTTGGATGGGAACGTACAGTCTTTGATGTGCAAAAGTAAGACTTTCTTTCCAATTTCCAAAACCTATACGATTTGATCCGATCCGAGTTCGACCCCACGCGGCGCCGCAAACAGGAAACCTGCTACATTTTCCCCTTTTTTTCTTCTTTCAAAATAAAATTTTTTTTTTTCCAATTTTTCTGTATATTTTCTAAATATTAACCGGTTACCGGTGGCACCAAGGGACAAAACTTGCCACGTGATGCACGGACAGATCCATCTCCACCGCCGTTGGGAATCCGCCGCCCCTTTATTTATACCTCTCCGCGTGGCCACAAAATCCACCTTTCCAAACTTTATAAATTAAATACTATTTTCATTTCACAGCATTTAGCAATAATGTGGGTCTATTAATGTACTCTTAAATTTTATTTTATTTTTACCAATTTTAGTCTGCCGCTTCCAGAAAGAAAATTGTTAATTGTTAATTCTTTAATTTTTTCAGAAAATTATTTTTATCTCTAAACATTTTAAACCTATAATTTAGGTTCGATTTAGCGTGACTATTATGATTTGACTTTTATATTTTCATAAATTATATGCGGGTTTTGCTTACAATTATTTTTTGTATGTTTTAATTTTTATTTAAAATATATTTGGATTTTTTAACCAAATTTTAAAATTAAAAATAAAAATTCGAAAACTGGTTTTTTAGTTTTTAAAATTTAACTTAAATTTTGAGGACGTCCTTGAAAAAGAGATGTAAAAAACAATTATTTATATTTGCTGTGAGTACATATATTATCTATTGGTTAAAAACGAAATATAAATTAGAACCAAAATGTTTATTAAAATGAATAGCTACCCTAAAAGTTTATAAATCGAAAATTTTAAACAAAAATAAAAAATTTAATTTGATAAGTATAACAAGTCAGATTCGAGTTCACGGCTTTTTTTTAAGACGTACCTTAAATTTTCTCTCTCCTTTTGCCCTAAGTTAATGTTAGGCAAATAAAAATTTAATTATAAACGAATTAAAATTGAAATTTAAGATTGAAGATTTAAACCAATAATGAATTGAAGGAGCAGCTACGAAAGAGAGAGGTACCTTAAATTTCCCCTCTCCTTCCACGTTAGAGCATCTCACGCGCCGCGCGGGCCCCACCGGCGACGAGGAAGCGGCGCGGCGGCAAGAAGTCGGTCAAACGCCTCGTTGACCGAGCTTTGGCTGAGCTTCCTTTCATTTTCTTTTTTAATTTTTTTTCTCTTAAAGGCTGCGTGAGGGCACGTGCGGTGTGCGTGATTTAGACGCTCCCGTTTTACGCTACAAATTTCTAAATTTCCTTCCTATATAACCCCTCCCCTCTCCCTTAATTTTTCCCTCAAATTTCAACTCATCGCATTCTCTCTCTCTACAACTTCTTTTTTATTAACCAAACTGGGCCCAATATGGCTGCCGGAGATCGGCCGACATCCTCCTCCGCCGCCGTGACTCCCGAGATCCGTTACCGCGGCGTCAGGAAGAGGCCGTGGGGCCGTTACGCCGCGGAAATCCGGGACCCCCGTAAGAAGACTCGCGTTTGGCTCGGCACCTTCAACACGGCGGAGGAGGCGGCGCGTGCTTACGACACCGCTGCGCGTGAATTCCGAGGCGGTAACGCCAAAACCAACTTCCCCGTTCCCGCCGAGTTCGCCGTCCTCGTCGGCGAAAATCACTACCGTAAATCGGCCTGCAGTAGTCCCAGCCAGAGCAGCACCGTCGACTCCTCCTCCCCGTCGCCGGCGCCGCCGCCCGTGGATCCGGCTCTCACTCACTTCATCGACGGCGGCGCCATTTCACGCCCAATTTACTTCTTCGACGCGTTCGCCCAGGCGGAGAAGACGAGTGACTTTCACCGGACCGTCACCGTCGCCGTTGCCGGCGGATCAGCGAGTGACTCTGATTCGTCCTCTGTAGTAGTTGATTTCAACCATACTCGGAAACCGCGGCCGTTGGATTTCGACCTGAATCTTCCGGCAGTAGAAGTTGCGTAGGGATCCGGTTTTTTTGTTATAATTGATCATCTAATTTTCTAATTCGCGTCCGTAATCCATTTTTAGGTTTGAAGGAAATATATTCGGCCGGAATGAGATTGAAACTAAAGAAATTAGGTTTTAAATGTTTGTGTTGTATAGATCATGACCAGGGAATTCCTCCTTCCACTTTGAATGAAGAGATTTCGTTTTTCTTTTCTTTTGTTGATTAAATCAATTGCGCTTTGGTTTTTTTATTTAATTGAATTCCTTTCGTTTTCTTGGAACTTTCTGGGATTTAGAGCAGATCTGGTTTCGCCGGCACCGTTGGGCGGCACGGAGCACGAGAGCCGCCCTGGGTCGGTCGTTTGAGTTTTTTTTTTAATAAATAAATTGGATTCGATTAATTATCCTTGCCCGCGTCGGCCGTTGTGGGGCGGCGGGGGCCCATAAATGAAATCATTTCAATAACAGGAGAGAGAGAAAAAAGTATTATATATATATATTTAACACGAGGGAATGTGATCGAGAATATTTCTATTTTTTGGATAGGTGGGCGAGAGTTCGAATACTGTGGTACTCATAATTTGATTTCTTAATCAAGTCACAAATATCAAACTTAATATATATATAGTGTATAATTATTGAAATTGTGTTTTTTTCTATTATATCTGTAGTCTCTAAACCAGTTTACGTGCACATCGATTAATCAAACGGAATAGCAGTTTGATCCTACAATATTTATTGTAAAAAAATATATATGAAATAATTACTCATGTAGGTGATCATTATAGGATATCAACTAAAATTTTGATGTTAATTATCATTTTAACACTTATCATACATGCAAACTATCATATTTAACTATCATATTTAAGAGTTAGGTTTGAAATCAGTTACCACATGATTATTCAATATACACAATTATTGTGACAAATAAGGGTTTAACTAATTAAAATAGGTTAATTATCATTTTTTTTTGTCGTAGCTTGTTTCTCAATACCCACAATTTGGTATTTTGCATTAACATGTTATAATAAATTAATGGGATACTAGATGTTAGTAGCTCACCAATTTCAACCAATCTCTAAAAACTCCATTAATACCAATTTCTATGATAAATTTTTCTTACAAAATTTTCAAATAAAAGCTAAACATAAGGACTGATTTGATAGAAATAAAAAAAAATTAATAAAGTTTAGAATAAAAATTAATTTAATTGTAAAAATTCAATTATATTAAAAAATAAAAGATAATATTGAAAAAATAATTAATGAATAATAAATGGATGAGAAGAGAAGTGAGAAATGCAACCGCGCAGGTTCATGATGGAAGGCGTGGGGGCGCACTTCTGTTCCTTTTTACTGTACCAATCTGACCGGCCCTCGTGATCGGCGTGGTGGCTGTCATTTCACGACACGTGTCCTTAAGATGTTCCGGATCCAACGGCTCAAATTTTTCTTGTTCCTCCCACAATTCTCTCCAACAAAAAACATTTAATACTTTTGCAGGCGGCATATACTACGTCACCTGCGTATTTCTCCACATTTATTATTTATCCAAAAGTAAATTCGTGCCACGCCACCATAGGTAATAAATAAATATAATATACCACATATATTATGATATTATAACAACAATAACTCATGGATTCGGCAGCCATATTAAAAAGAAACATAACTATTAAATATAGAATTTACTTCATAATAGTTCAGATTCGATTTTTTATCCTATATATTGTTGTATTGAAAAAAAAATCATAACATTGATAAATTATGAGAAGTTAATATTAAAGTTGTAAAACTCTTGTGATTTTTTTAATAAATATTTTAGGATTGTGCAAAATGGTAAATTACAAAATATATATTATATTAACTTGTGAACTTAGAATGATTGGGTTTGAATTTTTAAAATTATGTTGAATTTAAAAAAACATCAAATAAATTCATAAACTTTCATCCTCGTCTAATATATTTTTACTTTTGTTTATAATCTATTTTAACTTATCGTGACAATTTTAAAAATTCATAAACTCATTATATACAAAATTTAAAGTTTATAATCATGACTAAAACTTAAAATTTTGACCCGCTAGTTTAAATAAGACAAATATACATTAGACATACCATTTAAATTTAAAGTTTCTTTTAAAAGTTATAGACTTATTAATAAAAAATGCAATTTAACTGATTGTAATTTATAAATATCAATCTGCAATAGATTTTCATAAACTCCTAAACCGATACAACAATTAATTAATAAATAAATCAACTAAAATCTTGGTGCGAATCTTCTAGTTTTTTATTTTATTTTTTATAAATAAAAATGAAGAACGAACGAGTCCAAATCTTCTTTTTCAAAAATTAATATGATTGTGTTCTTTTAAGGCCAACAGCAAAAGGAGATGCGTCCACGTGGCGGAGAGCAGTCCCCTCGGCTCGTAGGTGGGTCCCATTATCCGCGTCGCGTGGAACCCGTCTTAACGCGGCTGTGCGTTGTGGCGGTGCTGGATCCGTAAGCAAAGCCCAATCATTTGGGTCCACGTCAGCGTATGTACGGATAAACAAAGGGTAGGTCGGCTGTTGTGGCGGTGAGGTGTCTGAATAAGACAGACCAGTTAAGCCGGCGCGTCGGCAGATCTAAAAAGTTGGGCGCGGGGATGACTTTGATTCAGCCCTGCCACGTGTATTTTTGCGTTTTTCTTAATTTTGGGTTATTTATTATTTCGATTTATTTATTTATATTTCAGCGGCGGTTGTTAAAGAGATGGGGCGGCTGGGAGCGTGTGCGGCTTTAAAGCTGCATTTCTGTTGGGGTGTCAGGTAACCGACCCGCTGTCTTTAGTTCTCTTTGGATGATTTCGACTTTATTTCATTTTTGTTTATTTTATCTTCTATGTTTTTCAATTTTTGTTAATTCCAAAGTCTTCCTATAGAAAAAAAGCCCCTTGGAGAAAAAACTACAGCCACGAGGAAAAATTATACAGCGAAAAGTTATTACAATCACACATATTTTTATTTTTAATTCTAATTACACAAAACACTCTCTTAACTAGAACTATTATACATATATAAGATTTAAATATTTTAATTGGATGATTAAAACTCAAAGTTATAAGCTCTTTTTATAATAATTGTAACATACATTTTTTTTTTTTACCTTTTCGACGTGGGACAACTTCATTCCATCATTACTTTTCCAACGTAGGACAACTTCTATTCGAATATTTTGCCAAAACCCTGGTCTCTTTGCTTCTTATAAATGAACATTTTGATCTTTTTGTTTTTGTTTTTATCTCATTTATTTCAATAAAAATTTTAACATGATACTTCACTCGCTAATTTTTTTGAAATGTAACAATAAGTTTGTATGCAAAGGTTCCCATTGTGTATAAAATTTTGGAAATAGAAATCAAAATAGTAATTTTTTTAAATTACAATGACTAAAATAAACGTTTCGAAAGTACGAAAAGAAAATATAGGGAAAAAAAATAGTATTTGAATATTGTTTTTAATTTAACCTGAAAAAAAAAAGGAAATTTTGAAGGATCACACATGGCGGTCACACCCTTTTTCTCTTTTGTTTGAATATAGTTTCAATGGTTTAACTAACCTCCAAAGTCACGTTAATACTTAGTTTAAATTCTTCCTCAAATTAAAATTAAAATTTATTTTATATTGATTCATAAACTTTAGATATTATATTATGTAAATAACTTTTAATTTTTAAATACTCTCTATTTTAGTTATTAATCTTGTTTATAAACTAATACCTTACCTACTAACTGCTCTTGGCTGTATATGTTGATTTTTGGATGGGGAAATAATTGTCGAAAATGATCTCTCCTCGTGTCAATACACTATTTGACCTCTATGAATAAATGTGAATAATAGAGAATGAGAACCTAAAAATACATACGAAGAAGAATTTGGATATCGGTGTAATGCTTAGAAAGCATTTTATGATTCTTTAAGTTCGATCAGAGTTGTTCTACAGGAAGATAGATAATCATTACTTCATCGTGATTGGATGTTTAACTAGTCATCTATGTCTATGACTAAATACCTAATATATCACAAACAATTATCTAATCTTTAAAGATGCATCGTTTGATTATTGAGTGGTTGAATGTGAACAATCTTTCAAGACATGTCTTTTAAGCTAGACTATACTAGGATAAGCCCTCTCGCCTACTTAGGGATGTATATATTATGTGTTCATAAACATCTTTTTACGGTAAACTAGGTATATGCTTGCTCTACATTTCTCTCGTTGAAATATACAATATCTTGTCATATCTTACTATGCATATAATTTGTAATATGTTAATGACCTCATCAACAAATATCACGTGAATGTATTACGCTCCGAGAATTTCACCCATAATAATAGTAAATATCCAAATATATATCTATGCTAAGTTTATGCTAAATAATTTATAAAGAAAACTAAAGAGGAAGACCAAAATAATAATTTTATGCAAAATTGAGAGACTAAATATTTGAAAGTTGAAAGATCACCATATGAAAGAAAAACAGAAAAAAAGAGCATTGGGCCCAGAATTCAACCCATCGTCTCTGTGTCCAATGGGCCAGACCTTCAGCTTCTTCTCACCTCTACAATGGCGGTATCCGTGTCCTTCACCTACTGGAAGATGGACGGAATTAGGGGAAAAAGGCGGTTCTCAATTTCTCGAGGTTACAATTTTTTCTCGATTCAAGCTACTACTTCTGTTTACTACAGATTAGAGATTACCAGTACTGCTAGGGCAGGTGTCGCTGAGCGATGGGGCGGATTTTTGTTGTTGAAAGGGAAGGGAGGTCGTACAGATGCCGGTTCTGCAACACGCAGTTAGCTCTCGCCGACGACCTTGCCTCTCGGGTGGGTATATTCTTGGACTCCGACGATTTTATGATTTGTTGATGGTGTTTTTGTAGAGTAATTGCTGCTTTAGATACTTAATTATCTTAGTTTTCAGAGCATAATCTTCGTCGAATCTTGATTATAACTGCTTTCCCAGTGATTGCTATTGAAATGGAAGTGGTCGATAATTGAAACTCTCTGGCACTGCCAGATTTTGAGCTTGAAAAGTTGAAATCACCCTTCAGAGTCTTGGTACTCTCAGACGGGATAACAATTTCAAGTTGAAATATGCTTTCGCTGAAACTTGTCATTAAAGAATAGGAATGTGTTTTACATTTCAAACAGCCCCTTGTGTGTGTGTGTGTGTGTGTGTTTACTTTTTTTTTCACTGAAGTTTGTCTTATCCTTTTCGCTCTTATTTGATTAGGCCTTTCATTGCCGCCGTGGAAAAGCATACCTTTTCAATTATGCGTGAGTTCTCTATCTTTTGGTCGGAGCTGCTGTTTGTTTTTCTTCGTTGATTTATTAGTACAGTTACCATGCACTCGCACATTGGACTAATTTATATATTAATGTCGCTGTCGCTGACCATTATGTATTTAAGTCATGGTTCATGTAGAGTACGTAGGTAGACAAAGCTAAGCCATAGTACTGATATTGGTATTGGTTCCATAAGGGCTTATTCGAAGTAATCATCAGCATTCAGGACTTTTTGGCTAAGGGGCAGTCACCGATCAGGTTTTCCGCTAGAGCTGGCTAGGAAAGACAGTTAGATATTCTAAATGCTTGCTATTATCAATTTTTGATTATACGAAGCATATTTTTTATTGCATAAATGTGAACAAGGAGTTTCAGCGCCCCAACAACTGCCGCGCATTCTAAATTAGTCCAAGAATTCCAGTGGTAGCATTTCTTCCTAATTGGGTTCAAGCTTAAATAGTGATGAAAGCATGTTCAAAGGAATTTTGAAGTTTGCATAGCGACAGTTCTATGAGAGCGTGTAGAGTAAAAGTGAGTAGAGCCTAGAGAGGGTGCTCAGAGAGTATGTAGAGAGAAAGTAATGGAAGAGTAAGCACAAATCCGATGAAGGTGGATACATTAACGTTTGAGTCCTGTAAAAATTAGGGGAAAAAACATTGTTGAAAGTAATTGCTTCTAGTTTTTGGAATTTGGCCGACTTAAAAACAGATAGAGAACAGATCAACTATTTGTTTCTAGTCAGTTAAATTCCAAAAAATAAAGGGCTTACCAAAAATTGTCCCGTCTATGTCCTTAAGGGGGGGTCCTAATGACAAGGGAAGTTCTCTAAGGTCTTGGGTCCAAGCATCTAGGTAAGAAGAAAGCTGCTTGATAAGTGAAAATCTTTGACATCTTTGGGAGCGTGCGAATCTTCATGGAGTAGCAGGGCGGGGCAACTGGCCCATAATATTTTTTGAGAAATTGCCTTCAGTGGAGCAAATTTAGTCGATTTCTGAACTAGGAAGGGCATTATGTAAGCCATGCAACTGAGGTGATCCTCCAAATAACCTCACTCCGGAAATTGTTGAGTCTGAATTGAAGGGAGACGCGAGCAACCGTTTTTTTCTTCCATTTCTTACATACAAAATAGTAATGTATATTGTTTACTATGTTCTTATCACTAAAAAAACCTTTTTCAGTTGGGGATTGTAGCACTTACTTTATGAAGTTCTTCATACACAGGATAAACATTTCATTGGGAGCATTGGAAGAGAGGATGATGCTCTCAGGATTGCATACTGTCGCAGACATATTTTGTTGCTCATGTGGACAAATTGTCGGGTGGAAATATGTAAACTCTCTTATTCTCTTTCAAATAACCTCCACACACAGGAACCAAATGCATTTTGTGTCAGTATTTGTATAATCAGCTATAAATTTGCATTCATTTGCCAGGCGGTTGGTCCATGATTATTTGAGGTGCGTGCAAGCTTGCCCAGACACACGGATTTCAAAAAAAAATAAATTTTGCATTCATTTGCTCCTGATGTTTGAACAAAATGCATGTAGTTGTTGTCAGTATTTGTATAATCAGCTATAAAATTGTATGCATTTGCTCCTGATCTTTATAACTCATAAATTTCTTTCATTCAGGAGGCAGCACATGAGAAGAGCCAGAAGTACAAGGAGGGCAAGTTCGTTCTTGAAAGGTCGAATTCTCTTGCCTGCAAGTTGGTTAACTCGTAAAACTTTTTTGCTTCTCGAACCGTTCTTGAATTTTTATCTGTACGTTTATTGAATCAGGGGGAGGATAATCGACGACATTGAATTCTCAACTGGCTTCTACATAGACACTCGGTCTGGTATGAGTGATAGTGAAGATAATTAAGGGCATGATATTATATTGTTATTAAATATAGATACCATATATTATGAAGGTAAGTAGGACTAGGACTAGGGACTTGATATTATAGTGTTATTAGATATCATATACTATAATAATCATTAAACGATGAATGTTCAGGTTCTGTATATAATCTAATAATGTCTGGACTCTGGACTATGTGAATGTAGGGTTCTCTAGATGAGGATGCTGTTTCGCTCCATTTGACTCAATTTGGTTCGTAAACTTTTTAGGTATTTTTTTTTGCGTTTTTCTTTTTGAGAATATTAGGTAATAAATACGAGGTCAAGTCCTTGGATAAGATAAGAGAAGCTAACTATTGAGTTATTCTCATGTTTGATGTGTTTTCACTAGACTGAGGGGCCGATGATAACTCCTCTCGAACATTTAACATTTCAATCTTTTATATATGATTTAATTTAAGTTTGTAAATGTGTCAAAATGCTCCGAGGTTAAGGGAATTCTACTTCCTCTCAAAAGTCATAAAAGTTCGTAGGTTCGCCTCGGAACCATTAAAAAAGAGTGAAATGAACCTTTAATTTTAATTTTTATAGGATGGTTTAATTTTCAAGAATGGAAATTTATGAATAATGGTATATTTTAACAATTTTAAAATTTAAATTTATTGACGTCAATAATTATTGGTCTCTTAACTTTTGCATTTATTAAGTTTTTATTCTTAAAAACTTTCAAAGGTTTAAGTTTCAATTTTTTTTTCTCTCTTAAATCTTTTATGGCAAAGGTTAAGTTTTAATTCTTAAACTTCCATAAAAATTTTATTTGAATTGTCATTAAATCATTGAGCAAAAACTTGGTAGATGGATATTTTTTTGTTCATTTAAAAAAATCTAACTGGTATGTATACCTATCCTGTACAATATTTGAATTTACATCTGGGTTAGGTTTTAAAAGATGAAAATCTAGATTAATGGTAAAATTGCTAATGATTAATGGTAGGTGTAGGACTAAAATAATTTTGGTTTAAATCTATTTCGATATCTAAACTTTTAGTATTTTTCTATTTTGGTATTTGAATTTTTAAAATATTTATGGTCTCTAAACTATAATGCTTATTGCATTCTAGTCTCTAAACTTTAATGATCTCGTCTCTAAATTTTAAAATGTCTATTTAAGTCATTTAAGCCTTTAAAGATAACTATTTTGGTTATTGCGGTTGTTAGGTAAAATATGAATAATCCAACTTTAAATATGTGTATTAGGCTATTAGCATGTAGATGTGTGCATATATTGGGATCATATAGATTGATTAAGGCAGACACTTGGTAGATAGATACTAGATAATAGAATAACAGTAACGACCAAAACAATTACTTTTTGAAAATTGAAGATTAAAATAGATATTTTGACGATTCCTTTACTTCGGCACCATATAAAGTTTCTCGAACAACGTAATATCTCACAGATAGGATTGCATACTTGATCATCCGATACTATGGAGGATAATTGAAAAAAAAATAGTAGATCTATTCCGCCTAAGATGGAAATGAACTAGAGTTATGACCTTATAATCTATAATTTGATGATCGAGTCCATTCACTTGAAAAAGAAAATGTTACATACTAATGCATTTGATTCCACAACCATAGGTTTCAATGTACAAGACCACCTTTTGGGCCTAAACCATTAATGAGATACCACTTTGGAAGAGTTAGAATTCTAACATTGTGTCAACGCCTATGGAAAAGATTGTGCCTTCCACGATGAAATCTGACAAGTGAGATTTCGAGTTAGTGTTTACATAATCTACCTAACCTATGTCAATTTTGGCGGACGTGCTCCACTCTAGTGAACTTATGTAGTCCGAGGTAGAATTTGATGTTCAAATAACAATGAAGGTGAAGTAGGGTAAGGAACAACAAATTTCTTCCTGATAAACAGGGTTTTTTTTTTTTTAGTTTGGAAACTAAAATAGATATTTGAAATTTTCAAACACCAAAATAGAATAAACCTCCTTTATGTACAAATACTTTCCAAGTAAAGTTTATAATTAAGATAAAATATTCGAAAATTTAGAAATGAAAATACTTTTTTCTAAATAAAAATATTTGAAAATATCTATGTTGGTTTTATCGTACATTTATGTTATTCGATCGTGCCACGTGATAAGCCTATTGCCTTAGTGTGTAAAGGATATCTTCCAAGTCAAATACGTCTAAGAGATCATTTAAGCTTATTTCGAAAAGTTAATGACCAAAAGTACTAGATTTTGAAATATAGGAGACCAAGGTGATTGTAGGTATTTTTTTTAGTACAACGAGTGTAGTGGGAGATTCGAACTCATAACTTCTCGATCAAATTGATATGGGCTCGTTGGCAAATGACACGTGGTAATAGAAATTTCGACTTTTTAATATGATATATAACTTAAACAGAGTTTAGGCCTCACGAAAATAGTAGCCGAGGATGAAAGAGGAAAAAGTATTTATTTGGTAGCGGAATGGTATTTGTGCAAAACTTAGCTATTGAAATGTAACACGAAATAAGTTTGGAAAGATTTTGGCGTGAAGGACGCGGGTTGGCGAAGGAAGAACAAGAACAGGCCTCCTCTTAGCGATGAAATCCTCCGAAAACAGAGCAACCCTGCATTAAGCTCGAAGCCATCCAGTTCTCAAATTTCCAAACCCTAATTCCCACATTCAAACCGATTCTTGTTCTTTTGCATTCTATTTTCCCTTTTTTCTTCTTCTTTTTTTCATCTGTTTTTTCTTTCTTGGGCGTCGTAGTTGCATTGCAGGTGTTCCAGATGGGAAAATCCCGCAAGAAGGAGCGTTCAAAGACTTCTTCATCCCAGGTACTCTTTGTCTCTCTCTCTCGCCGAATGTGTTCTCTACGTTGCTATGTCAATTGGATTTGTCTTTATTTCCCCCTCTTTTGTCGAAATTTCTGCCTAGTCACTGGGTAATGTTCAAAGATTACGCTATAATTTGGCTTCTGACCTGACAATTACATGTGGGAAATTTTCTATTCGTTGATTCATTTGCATGAACTTTGAGTTTGCGTAAAAGGGTTCCCTCTTCGTCTTCACTTATTTTTTCTTGGTAGCCAACTGGAAAATGTAATATTGGCATCGTGGTCGCATTAAAGATATGATTTTTTTTGTTTGTTTTCACTTTCTCTTTCTTTTCCCTCTTTTACCTCATATAAGTTTGCTTTGATGCCGATGCAAATGAAATTTGCATCCACTTTTGTTTTGTTTTGTTTTTTTGGTTCGAACCATGAAGAGAAGTAGGAGAAAGAATAGAAGTAGTAGGAAATTGAAGTCCAAGAAGCTGCGGTATCGCCACGATTCTCCCTCTTGCTCTGACACTGATTTTGAAAGTTCAACTTCACTGTCCTCTTCTAGCTCTGAGGATGATGAGAAAGTAGGAAGATCTCGATCCAATAAGCTAAAGAATGCAAAGCCTGGTAAAAAGAGAGCTAAGAAGCGATCTCGTGATGATCAAATTAGGGATTTATCTCCTCACCCCAGAAAGAGGAAGCATTCGAAGAGACACGACCGTTGCGAGGTGAAGAAGACCAACAAAAGGAAGAAGCGTAGAAGAGATGTGAGTGTTAGTGCCACGAGTAGGGACTCTTTGAGCTGCTCAACTTGTGGAGATGGGAGTACAACCAGCAATGAGAGTGAAATTGATAGGCATAGGGGCAGGTCTGGAAAGAGAAAAAGAAATAGGGGGAAGACTGAAAGAAGTAGATACAGGTCAAAGAGTCATTCACCATGCTCTTTATGTAGTGAAGGTAGTGATTATCAGAATGAGGTTGAGGATGGCAGTTATGTTGAGAACAACTTTAGACGATTAAGATCAGTAATTGTTGTAGTAGGAGAGGAAAACAAATTAAAGACGTTTGATGGGAATGAACAACAAGAAGAGGTCATGCATCATCCTGATGACGACCACCCTTCTTTTGGAGATATGGACAGTAACGATGGGATGAGTAAAAGAGAACTAGATCGTGTTACATCTAATGAGGCATCAGAGGTAGAAAACAAAAAAGAAGTGGTTATACCTGATATTAGAAACTTTTTGGTTGTAAAGGATGGTGGAGTTCAAAATGAGGGAAGCAACAATAACCATGGAGGAGTAACTAATGACCATCCTTTAAATGAAGGAAATAATGGCTCTGGAAATACTGACAGGATAAATTGTATTGATTTGGAGTCAATTTTAAGACAGAGGGCTCTGGAAAACCTAAGAAAGTTCAAAGGGGTGCCCCCAAAGAACGTAGAAACTTCTGCTAACTGCCAAGTTGATAATAGTAATGATGCGAAGCAATTGTACTCTCCTGTCTCTAATTCAGTTCGCATTAAGTCCCCTAGGGATGATGCTGAGATAAATGGTAAGGGATTCTCTGGACAAGGTGGGGGGAATGCGGTAAACCCAATGATAGTTGAGGAGAATGGTGTTGAATCTACTAATGCGATAGATTCAGCAGTTGCATCTACGCATGATCCTATCTATTCTTCACAGAACCTGGGTAAGATTTCCAGTACAAGCAATGGTATGAATGAACTAAAGCAGGATATTTCTTCATTAGACCAGGAGGCCGTAAATGACAATATTTGCCAGAAGGTGGATGCAGATATTTGTTCTACAACTAGCAGAAGCAATTTGGTTTATGCAGCTTTGAGACCCGACTCAAAAGTTGATTTCCTTGTAAAGCAGGCATCTGCTCCTCAAGAATATATCCAAACAAAGCCATCTATATCTGACATGGGTGTAGATGAGATTGCTCAAATGCAGATCCAGACGAGGAATAATGATGATCAAAACATTGTTAATGGTTTCGATTCTTCAGCTCACAAGCCTTCTTCTTCCCTTAATTATTTTTCAGGAGAAAATAGCTTGAATAAGCCCAGACATGAGAGTGGGGAAGGCTCACAGTTTGAACAGAAAACAATGTCCGTGATGAGAGGTGGTGAAATGGTGCAGGTGAGAATATTGACTAAAATTTATATATTCAACAGTAAGTATAATGATACTAGTTTATCAAGAACTTCTTAGCATGGATCTGCAATTATTCATTTCAGGTGAACTACAAGGTCTACATCCCGAAGAGAGCTCCTGCTTTGGCCAGGAGGCAACTCAAGCGGTGACACAAGATCCGTGATTATGCAGTCAATATAGGATGTTCCTGTTCATTGATCACTTTCGTTAGCAAGGAGATCCATAAGCCTTAAAACATGAACAGTAATTAGGGAAGTCAATTGTGGATATTTATGTCTGTTAAGTTGTTAGCTGTTTTCTTTCCATAACAATGATCAAAATGATCTTTTGATCTAACGAGATCCTCGTGTTTACAAAGCCTTCTTATTTAGTTTTCCTTGTGATGCCAAAACCTGGTATAGGTGAGTTGATGATCACAATTAGTTTCACCTTCTATTCTATCATGTCCTTGTGAATAAACTCAAACCTCTAAGTGGTGTCCTCTCTAAGTATTGGTGCTAAGCCTTAAGATTGGTTTCGGTTCCGGCTCCTAAGTCTTTCTTCTTTCTCTATCTTTTAGAACTTGCATGGGTGCTTTTGGTTTGGTTTGATTTGTACTTAAATCACTAGCAAGTTTCAAGATCATGGAGGCTCGGGCTGGCTATGTAGGGGAAAAGGAAGGGGGATGTTGAGGGGTGAGGAGAGAGTGAGAGAGGAAATTACTTTAACGAGATACGGATGAGATTGTTTTATTTCATGGATTAAGTTGTTTAGATTTAAGTTGAATATATTGTGGATTTTACTTGTAACATATTATGGATTTTTTTGCAAGTTGAATATTTTATTAACCATGGATCTCAACGAAATCTTGTCTTTAACGATGGAGGCAGGCTCGATTCTTCAGTAACTGCATGTTTTAGTTAACCATCAGAGTTAACATTTATATTCCAACACTATTCAGACATGTTAAATCTTGTTTTTTAAATTGTTCTTGATAATATGTTATCATTGTGAACAAATTCGTTATGCAACTATGTTTTCATTTTCAGGGGTTTTTTTAACTCTTCCCAAGTCACTATATATAGATGTTTGATTCATGATTTTAATAAGTTTGGAGTTTTTTCTATACTATATTTGATAATAATTGATGAATAAAATGTTTCAATCTGCATGAATTGATTTTTTTTTCGAGAGACATCGAAAGAGAATTGGATTTGATGATTTCAAATCCTGAGGTGGCAAAGTTTCAATTGGAGACACATTAAACTAAGGTGGCATTGTCAATTAAGAGCTTATATTAGTAGTTTCACCGAGTGGTTAATAAATTATATTTTACAAACACCAGATTAGTGTTAAATACTCAACAACACTGAGTCACAGTTACAATATGGCTAAAACTAGAATTAGAAGCAGTTTTCTTGCCTTCATAATTCTGCATTAGTGGAGACTGAATATGATCCTCGGTGGTTGAAGCCTTGGAGAGGGATTGGATCTGGAACAAGAAATAAAAAACAGGAACGTTATCAAACAGGTCCAAAGTGACCCGTTTCTTATTTATTTCCTTGACCTCTCCCCGTTGTCAAATTAGAGCAGGCAACCAACCACACAGAAGGCCTGTAGAAATTGCAGGACTTTCCTGAGTATTGTGCTAGATATTCATTCCATGCTGCTTTCATCAAATTATCATCCTTCTGTTGAAGTTGTGGAAATGGCTGAGTGGACGACTTTCTCAGCTGCCTGAATGCAACCTTTTCTTTCTGCCACTCACACAGGCCCAATCATCCATAGTTGAAACTGATATGCCTTCCAAGTACTGTGAATACCGTTCTATAATATCTGGAACCTGTATATGTACAAGACCACAAGAATATAAGATCTAGCCCAGCTAGAGAAGTCAAAACCTCAATTTACACCTAATATTAACTGAGCACAAATTACCCAATAGATGAAATACTTCACATGCTGAAAGTTGCGGTACTTTCTGAAATTTGGTTTTTCTAGCTTAGGGCATAACATCCCCTTTCTTAGATAAGCTAAAATTTCTAGTTAGTTTTTGATCAATGGTTTTAGAAGATACCTGCTCGGATAGAATACCAGAGAGACCAACAACTGCCTCGGGTTTGGCGTAAGAGACAACATGATCTGCTAATTCCAGCAGAGGATTTAGAAGTATGTTTGCAATGACGATGTCGAAGTTCTCCTTTCCAGAAATGTATGTTTCACTAAATTTATGTTCTGCAATATTACTAGGAACCAGGTGCAGTTGCAATTTTTCAGGTTCTACACTGTTCAGAGCAGCATTTTGCTGTGCAGATTCAATGGCTTTCGGGTCTACATCGACGCCAACAGATAAGGCAGCCCCAAGCTGCATTTGCAATCATATATCAAGTTTAATGGACATTCATTGGCTTACTCAATAATATGTCACTTCGAGTCAAGGTGTGAGTAAAAGAGAATGAAATCACATGCATAGAAGTTTACAGGCAACTCTAGATGTGTACGGGCACAATACATGCATAAGATATGAACTATTTCAAGGGTAGCCTCTGGCTGAGCACAATTAGATCAAATCCAGTACTGTATCTGCCTCTCTTGCTATCGATCACTCTGCTCCCAGAGAAAACCCATTGCCTCATCGATAACGACCATTTCAAAACAGTCAATACCTGTACCTCGTAGGTAAAATATATTCCCTCACCATCTTCATTGCACTTGCTGCAATAACTCGGCTTTACGCTCTTCTTCTAAAAGACTCCAAGCCAGCTAGAGCCACTTTTTTTTTCATAACATTCGTGAAAAGCACCATGTGCTATATATGTTAATAAAATTAGATGGGAGTTGTTTCAGGCATCATTGAAGTTTGAGCTTGTTTGCATTATTTTGGATATTGTACTGTACCTTTAGCGATGCAATTGAAAGAATGCCAGATCCTGTGCCGTAGTCCAAGACATATTCTCCTCCTTTCACTAAGCCGTGCAGCAGTAATATACACAACTTTGTAGTTGGGTGCTCCCCTGTTCCAAATGCTAATCCAGGATTTAGAATTATATTTGTTGCATGCACATCCTGTACAAATGGAGGAAATCAATGAAATTTTTTCTTCTAGGAAAAATACACGGATGACAATCTGCAATTTCAGATTGATAAATATATGGATGTAAACAAGTATTGAAAGAGGATGCTTAGATCAATACCGGGGGAGTTCTCCACTCAGGCACTATCCAAAGTCCCTCAGTTACCTTGACTGGATGAAACGATTCCTGTAATGCATGGGAAATATAATTAATTAGTAATTGAATTTGGAATATTCAAGTTCATCACACTGTGAAACTGTTGCTGAACATCAACCTTGCTGAGTGCACTGCCTTATCCTTGTTTTAATAACCGAGAAACATGTTTGATCAAATAGGTGAGCTTGTTCCAATAACATGCAGCCAACCAATGAAAGGAAAAGCAGGTGCCAAACCGAGCATAGCTCAAGTGGATAAAGGCGATGGTTTGATATTCTAGGCTTCTAGCCCAACAATTCTTTACTCAAACAAAAAAGGAAAAAAGGAATATACAGGTAAAGGAAACCTGGGATTTCTTTAACCAATCATGTTGTTCACCAATTGTGACTTCGTATAGGGGTATCTCCTTCAAGCCTACAGAATCAGCCGCATATGAGATGCACTTACTTACATCTTCACCATCAGGGAATGTTGTGTCAACATATATCTGCACAATGTAGATTAGTCATTACATCTTTAGTTTCCATCAATTGAGAATCTTCACAATAATGAAGATGGCAAAGCATTCCAAATCAAGTTAACAGGTAGAGAGCCAAGATTATCAAGCATAAGAACACCACCTCGTGGGAGCTGCTGGAAACATGTTCTTCATCCACACTAGTAGAACTCGCACCAAAACTTAGCAGAGCTTCTGAAAGCAAATCCTGCCCAACAGAAAATTCCTCTTTAGCTCAAGTTTACTCAACTTTCATTGCTTCAGTAATCCTGCAAGCTCCCTAGCGATTTCGTTTCCTGGTTACTTCTAGTCCAATTGTATGTCTTAGTAATTCTTGCTAAACCAGAAGAAGAAGTAAATTGTTGAGAGTCGATACCTTTGATTACTTCAACTGAAGTTTTTCAAGTCATACAAGCAACTTACAACGAACACATATATGCTAATTGTAACTTGTTGAGAGACTAGAAATCAATAAAAAATTTGAAGCCCAGCAGGCAAACACAAATTCCACATGGAAACAAACAAAAACGCAGCTCACCACGAAATTCTTTCGGCAGCGGATGCGGACGGAAAGATAGTTTGAAGAGGCGGAATCGGTAATGGATGAAGAAGAGAAGTGCGTAATGAGTGAAGGGGAAATCAAGAGCTGTGGTCTTTTATGGGGAGTGGAAGAGAAGGGGCAAGGGAGAAGACGAGAGAAAGGAAACAGGGGAATGCGAATGGCGGAGCCGATGAAGTGGGAAAAGTTCTTGACGTGTTTTCCGGCGATGGCCGCCATTTATTTGGTCTCTTTGCTCTGGTTATGGAGTGGAAGGTAGCACTCGTAAAATGTAATCTTCTGTTGTGTTGTTCTATTTGAGAATAATATTTGTGGAGTTTTTATGAAGCAGCAATTTTGGAAGGGCAGATACTAAAACAAACATTTTTAAATGATTGATTAAAATGAATTAAGGTTTTTTTTTTTTTAATTTTATGGCAGTGAGAATTTGAACTTAAAGAAAGTCAAATTGTCTTCACAAATATTTAAAAAAATAAAAAAAAACTATAGGGTATATAAATTTTGTATCTATTATTTAGAAATTTTTAACTCTTGATTTTTCAAAGAGGGTCGGAGAACTAAGACTTCGATCTCAAATCCCATCAGACCAAGTGATGGGGGAAGGAAATGATGGGTGATCCAGATTTCAACTATTGTTTCTGTCGTTCTACCACTAAAAAACTTAGGTCCATGACCTAATCTAGATTAGGTCAATGAATCAAAGTTAGATCGAGTTTGGATTAGTCCATATAATAAATTATTTTTTAAATAATTTTTTGAATTATTGAATTTAAGGTCTCTTAGTGAGAGACAAATGACAATTACTGTCGAGTCATTTTTTTATGTACAACATTTGAGATTGGGAGATCGAACTCATAAGGAGATATATGTCAATTATTGTTCTATGTTCACTTTGACAACCATATTTTTATTTAGCTTAAATGAGGTATCATGGGGTCATTATTATGCCGTGTAAAAATTATTAATTCTATTATACCAATCCGTGCATGTTAATTAATCATTTAAATCAACTACATTTGTTTTTTTCTAAATTTCTTACTCGTGCTTTGATAATAAATATGAAAATTTGAAATTTAATAGTAAGATTAAAACAGATCTTGCTATTGGATGTATTATTAATATACCTTATTAATAATGAAAAAGATATAAAGGTGGTATTTAACTTTTGTTATCTATTAATAATAATGTACTATAACTAGCATGTATATCATATCATTAATATAAAAAATATTATATCAACGATATTTGACTTTGTTTTTGTTTTCTACCAATTTGCATTCTCGTATGTTATATCTATTATTGATATATCCTATCATTAGAAAGAGAAAATTTAAATTCTAATTAAAACATTAATTTTTGAATTGTGATTTTTATCTACACTATGAACTAAATAATAACTTGACATGTCTATTCGCCTAAAACTATAGTTGAAATAATATAAAATTACATGTTCATTGTCATTTTAAGCTATTTATAAAATTTCGTCTCACCTTATTTTATCAAACTATCAATTCTCTCCTTTTTGTTTATTTTGCGAAATAAATATTTCATAAATTTTAACATTTAAATAGGAATGATATATATATATATGTGTGTTTCTTTTTTTATTTTTTAGCATTCAAAGATCGATGAAATATATTTTAATCCAGTTGGGTAATAAATACATCATACTCTCGTGTTGAGAATGACAATAACATTGATAAGATAGATTAAAATAATAATGGAAGGTTCAAACACAATCGACAGACCCTCCATAAAATATATATGTAGACTATAGTTCTGCAAATTGAAGAACAAAAAAATCCGAACTTTATAAGTTTAAACACAAACCCAATTCGGGTTTTGATCTTGCAATATAATCCTTTTTGTCTGTTTTGTTCTGAATCCGTGTTTTTGTCGTTAGCAATGAGTTTCTCATCCAACCCACTCTCCCTCAGCGTTCCAGACGGCGCCTTCGATTCATGGCTTCGCGATTCCGGCTACCTTGAAATTCTCGATCAGCGCACCTCCGACCTCCACC